TAACCATTTGCAAATGACAGCTATCTCCCCGACTATGTTCCCATTTACGGCACAGGACTCCATCCTGAATCAGAAATCTGTCCCATTGGGCCCAATAGCTTTTCGTGGTCGAACTCATCGCTGAGACGCCGCTCCACTTGAGCTTGGGAGCACTGGCCTTCATCCATTCCAGAATCGGCTTGATGTCTGAATCTTCCTACTGTGCATGTTGTAGGCTGTCTTTTCACCCGTTGCTGAGGTGGTCTGTCCTGAGCATCCTCAATGATAGCACTTCAGGACAAGGTCTTCTTGACAATCCATTTGCGTTGCCATGTGATTTCCCGCTGCGATATTCGATCACAAAGTCGTATACTTGCTGCTGCTGGGTGGTGTTGTAAGTTGCACTATTCTTTTGAAATCGATCACCTTCTCTTTTCACAATTCGCTTGAGCAGTTGGATCGAAGATGGCCCCTTTCTCCACAGTCGTAGCACCTAGGGTTGTATTCTTTATTGCGGTAGCGAATTGTATCTGCTACAACCTCCCTGGGGCGATGGGAACGATGATGCTGCCATACGGCTTCCACCTCCAGTGCATGGGCCAAGGCGTCCTTAAGGGTTTCTTGGTACCCGAGCCTCACAGCAGCTCTGACTTCAAGGTAGCGGATGCTGTTGATGAATGTATGCACCAGCTTCCCTTCAATGAGCGCAGATACAGACTGGTACGCTTTTCAAACCAGCTTCTCCACCTCAAGGGCTCACTGCCTCCAGTTTTTTATTGCTGCGTTGCACGCGATTGCTTTAAGCTGTGCACGAAAGACGTGTTCTAGATGAGCGCCGCCATATCTAGCCTCCAATGCCTCAAGGAACTGCACGTAAGTCACTTCTTTACTGAGAACTTCCAGAACGGTTAAGGCTTGGTCGCGTAAGCCTAGTGTGAGAGCAGTCATGGCTTGACTTTTATTCAAGCCGTTCGCCTTCATGATAGCCTCGAACTAGATTTTGTAGGCTGACCATGAAAAAGTCCCGTCGAACAGCGGCACTTTGAATTCACGTAGCGAAGGTACTGTAGCTACACGGAGCAAATACAAAGAGGAGACGGCCTAAGCAACTGTGCACTGTGATTCTAACTAGCCTTACGGCATCACAATAGGCGTGGCTTTAGTTAGTTTACTGTCAGTGTTCTTCCTGTGCGCTTACGGGTCAAAAATCGCAAATTGGTGTATTTTCGTAGTATTAAGAAGAAAAGGATGAAGTATTGTGTTTTATCATGTAAAAACTACTCAGATAAACGTTATGTAAGTAATTTAAAACTGCCGACGAAATTGACACTTCAATTACCAAACACCAATTACAACTTACACACTTACACACTTATAATTAATCACACTGAACACTTAAATTCGCAGTTAAATCGCTTCGAAGTATTCGTTTGAATCGCCAATTCAATACTGCCTCAGTCGCGGCCCTTAACAGATTTATACAGGGCCTCTTCCACTGAAACATCTAGAATGTTCCAACACATACCGGTCTTGACTGACAGGGTGTAGAAAGTTCGAGTGTGGAATTTTCTAGAAAGATTAATTCTGCTACTCGATACCAGATATCGCTAGTGCCATGTACCAGGCATTTATTATCGCGCGCAATATTATTAACTGTCCAAAACAATTCATTGCACTAGTAGTATTCTTAATGATTTCTTATATTTACGCGAACACTACACATGATTAAAACTACTTTTGCGGATTTTATCGCGTTTATTTTTGCTTTTAATTACTTTTATTTTTAATTCCCGACGTTTCGGGCGCTTTCCAGCACCCATGGTCACGGGGGACTGAGATGACTGACGTCCCGATGTCATTGTTAAACCCGGAGTACCTTCAGCTTTTTTAATTATTGTTTATGGTCCGATCTATGCAAAATGAACTGACTATGTCTTGAGGTCTTGCAGTGGTATGCTTGGTTTTAGTTTTAATTTTATTGATTATAGGATCCCAAGCAGGTGGTAGTACCCAGCCTCCTTCTCTATTGAAATTAGGATGTTTTTTAATTTCAATAGCCTCACGTATCATCCTTGGTAGGAATCGGTGTTCTTTCGCGAGTATTTGTGGTCTATCAAATCTGATGTAATGGTTGGGGCCGTCCAGGATATGATCACAAACTGCAGACTTCCCGGAACGTTGATGCTTCACATCAGCTATATGTTCTTTTACGCGGGTTCTAATTGATCTTTTTGTTTGTCCTATATAAGAGAGACCACATTCACAATCAAGCTTGTACACTCCTGCATCTTGTAGAGGAATATGACACTTGACGGATGGTAGGAACTGACTAATCTTCTTCGGCGGCTTGTAGAATGTTCTAATAGAAGCTCGCTTCAAGATATAGCCAATCTTGTCTGTGACACATCTGACATATGGTAGTACAGCAGGCACACGCTCGACTGTGGCCGGCTTCACTCGGTCACTGTGACGTAGGCGCGGGACCCGAAGCTTGTTGTCGTGCAGAACTTGCTTGACGTGCTGAAGCTCGGCGGCCAGGTGTTTGCTGTCACAGATCCCTCGTGCTCTCTGTAACAAAGATTTGCCCACGGTAGCTAACTGTGAAGGATGGTGGTGAGATTCACCGTTTAAATATCGGTTTGTATGGGTCTTTTTCCTATACACAGTGTGACCAATGGTGTTATTAGGATTTCGGATGACTAACACATCTAGGAAAGGTAAGGAATTATTTGCCTCTAACTCCATAGTAAATTGAATTTTAGGGTTTATGGAATTAAGATGTTCTAAAAATGCAGTTACTTTGTCTGATGGTAAAATTGTGAAAGTATCGTCTACGTACCGCTTGTAGATCCTTGGTGTAACAGGTGCAGTAAGGAGGGCTTTCTCCTCAAAGTCTTCCATGAATATATCGGCGACAATGGGAGATACAGGTAAGCCCATCGCAACACCATCTACTTGCTTGTAAAACTCTTCCTTCCACAATAGATAGCCAGATGTAAGGCAATGTCTTAGTAATACTGCATATTCTGCTGGCATGTTATTTTCCTCTAGTTTCCTAGTTATAATTGAGATGCAGTCTTCAACAGGTAGGCATGTAAATAGAGACTGAACATCAAAACTGACCATGGTTTCATTGTCAGTAAGATGTAGGTCTTTTATCTCGCTGACAAAATGGTATGAATCCTTAGTGTGTGCTCTTGTGTGTCCTCTGAGTGGTGATAATATTTTAGCTAAGTATTGAGCCAATCTGTAAGTTGGCGAATCAATCTGACTCACTATTGGACGTAATGGAGCATTCGGTTTGTGTATTTTAGGTAACCCATACAACTTCGGTGGTTTGGCACATGAAGGTATTATCGAATTAACGTTCCAGATTCAATTTCTCGGAGTATTTCTTAATTAGAACGCTAGTTGTTTTAAGCGAATTAGTTGTAGGGTCTGTTTTGACCTTTCGATAAGTAGTTTCATCCGACAAAAGTTGTTGTATTTTAAAATTATAATCTGACGTATCCATTATAACCGTAGAATTACCTTTATCTGCGCGGAGAATCGTAAGCTCTGGTCTGTTGCGTAAGTTTTTCAACGCATTAAATTCATTTTTGGGAAGATTTAATTTCGGCGCTGAACTTCGACGTAACATAGACGAATGTCTTGACGTATGGCCTCTAAATCTTCATTACCAACGTTATTTTTATACAGACAGTCCTCAACACTACAGATAATGTCCTCATACGGTATTTTTCGCGGTGTTATGGCGAAATTAATACCTTTTTCTAAAACTTTTATTGTGGCGTCGTCCAGTGTTTGTTTTGATAAGTTGTAGACAGCGCGTTGTTTATGATTCGTGTCTGTGGTCAACGATTTCGTATGTTGGACATTTGATTTAGTTGTTAATTTATGGTATTTATCAATGTGTTTATTTTTGCATTCATTGTATTTAGTTGTTTCGCGTTTATCTAAAGTTTCCATGCAATTTTTATAATCAAATGCCGATAAAACTGTCTTTAATTCTCTGTGGTCTCTCTTATATAGGACAAACAAAAAGATCAATTAGAACCCGCGTAAAAGAACATATAGCTGATGTGAAGCATCAACGTTCCGGGAAGTCTGCAGTTTGTGATCATATCCCGGACGGCCCCAACCATTACATCAGATTTGATAGACCACAAATCCTCGCGAAAGAACACCGATTCCTACCAAAGATGATACGTGAGGCTATTGAAATTAAAAAAAGATCCTAATTTCAATAGAGAAGGAGGCTGGGTACTACCACCTGCTTGGGATCCTAGCCTGCCTTGGTAAAAGTAGTTTTAGTTTAATCATAGTAGTATTCTTCTATAGTATTCTTCCAACTTTGGTTCTTTCGATATATAAATCCCAATATAGACTGCATCTTTGCTCTAGTGGTTGTAAACGTGACTGCCAATAATGAGGTCCCGTGTTTGAATTCAGGATTAGGAAAAAAACCAGTTATATAGTTTTTCCTGTCAACAAATTCTCAGTAGTGGTTCGGAGACAGGAAGTTGGTGGTGTCTCACCCCGTGCCTCGGAAAGCCGTTGGTCTTGCGCCTGATTTTTCTTCGGTCGTGTCGGTTTTTCGTCGTATCGGACTATGAGAGTGAGGGAATAGAGAGTGCACTTATCTGTGCGCGTACACTTGGATACTATAAATCTGTCCTGCGGCGATGGCTAGTCTCCGTTGAGGCTGGGTGTTGTAACCGAAATTCGGTCTGGAAGACATTATAATTTCGAGCGTTTATTATTTTTAAGCTATTTAAACGATCTTTTTGGTGACAGACAGCATTTAATCCGTAATATTTTATTTCTGATTAAACTAATCACACACTAAATATAATTTATAAAGCACACTTCTAAGATTAAGCACATTTTGTAAATACTAAACCCTTTTAACACTTCCGACGATTATTAGAAAAATGTTTTTTTCTTCGTCGATAGACACCAGTAGCTGATCTAATAAAAGTACCGTCATGCCAATTTTTACAAGAAACACTTAAAATATTTTAAAACTTAATTAATTTACCATCTACGTGAACTGTATATGTTAGCCTAACATAACCCCCAAAGTTCTTGGCTGTACAAATGTAAAATCCGTCGTCGTGAAGCTGAATTCTTGAAATTACTAACAATTCAGAAGTATTCAAATATCTGTGGACAAAAATGTTTTAAATCAGATCGTTACACATTGTAGACACTCAAGCCTACGTCAACTCAAAACAAGACATTTAAATATAACATTCAGTCTTGTCGTTATAGGTTTTGTTCCCAAATAGCTAGCCAAGCAGCAATGCCGGCTTTGTACCGCATAAATACAGCTTTTAGTCACTGATTGCCTACTTAGTTAACAAAGATATCTGAAATTTTAATTCCTGATTAGAAATCCTCCCAAGCCCAAGGAGGCTAGAATAAGCTACTATACAAAAAAGTGAATAGTTTATTTACTAAGAAAATTATAAACTGTTAATCCTTTTTTAAACAATGTAGAAAATACATACCTTTTAACATTCGTTTTTGATGAAGTGAATAGCCATTTAATAATAGGACTTGGATAGCCTTTGACTTTACAAGATAAATTGAGGTTACTTCCAACCTGCACCTTTATATTAGTATCTGTAGGTACATCTATAGTCACTGGTTCTGAAAAATAAAATGTAGGAATTTAACTATATAATGTAAGATTAATAATAATTTGAACAATTTACTTTGTTCAAAAGTGTTCATCACAGTATACACACTGGTTACGCGGAAACGATTCTTGCATTTTAATTTTATTCGAGGGTATATTGCCTAGCGTTTATCCTTCCTTTGACCTCATGTCCCTTCCATACACACTGAAAGGGGGGGGGGAGGGAGGGGTCTAGAAGGTGACGCGATTCTTTCGACCAATTAGAAGCGCGCCCGACCGAGGTGCATTGGTGGGAAAGCCGAGGCAATATAGGCTTGCGCGCTGCCCTCGAGCGTGCTCTCTTGCCACACGCCGCTAGTCTGAACCACATCACCTGGAGCAGTCGCGCTCCAGAAGTAACCACCTCACATAGTGTGAGATATCGTCGCGCACCGCTCTCTTCCTTCGCACGACTGGCCTGAATCACATCTCTGGGGCACCCCAGAAGAACCCACCTCACGTCGCATCACCGCAACGGAAGCGCCTCAGCCGCATCGAAGTCACACCCCGGTAAGTGTGTTTTTCCTGTAATTCATTGCCTGCTTGAGCATTTGTTTGTTACTTAACCCGCCCCATTTCATTTCTCCTAACGTGTTCAAGTAGAATTCCTTCATAACCTTGGCAAGCAATAGATTTCGGAAGAGCGAGTGCATTGTCAAGGAACCGCGTGCCACATCCGCCATCTTGTTGAGGCAGAAGAAGCTTCCCGCGTATATAGTCCATCTAGTATAACGTAATACGCGTAATAGGGTCAAGGCTCGACCGGGGAATTGAACTCGGGAACCCTAAGGCCCGCCGCCCAACCATTTTTCTGATCATTCGAGCGGATTTGGAACTGGTGCTTTGTAGCCTCATCGAGTCGAACTGCTGAACTAATTCCTTAGACAATGCACTCTAATTTAATATTGGATAGATTTATGTAGTTTTGTTTAGTTTAAATTTAAAATTTCGTTAGTTTATTCGCATAAGTAAATCGACTTATTTATTTAAATAGTTAGATCCGCTTAATTTATCCTACCCACTATTTGTAAAAAATTATATGAGTTTTAAATTCTTATCTAGTCGACGCGCGTTATCTCGTTTGATTGCAAAGTTACCTTCAAAAAAAAACGTGTTCAATTTAACGACGTAATACGGCACGATAAGACTGATCACATAAAAAATATTAACATAGATTCACTGTGGGAAACGTTTTTATGTGAAATCGAAATGGTGAACTCTTTGCGATTGGATTACAAATTGACCCTAAGTATACAGTGAACTATCAACCACTTCTATCATTTGAAGATATGTTGTGTCGCGTAAAAAGAACGGCAAAGCTCTTACAGTCTCCAGCCCAAAGCGAAGCAAAACCAGAAATCCAGGTACGCCTACGTGAATCACTTAGATTGCCCCCCATAGATATTCCGGTATTCAATGGAGATATTAAAAATTCGCCGTTGTTTATTAATAGCTTTCAAAACACCATACATAATAATCCATCGTTATCGGACGCTGAAAGATTGTATTATTTAATTAGTAAATTGAGTAGTAGGGCACAGTCCATTTGTTCGGGCTACACACCAACAGCAAACAATTATTAGTTAGTATTTGAAACGCTTAAAAATAAATATGAAGATAAGCGAATGTTAGCCTCTTCATATTTAGACCAGATATTCGATCTTAAAGCTATATCATCCGCGAACATCACCGGCTTAGAGCAGTTTTTAGATAAATTTGTAGCATCGGTGGCTGCACTCAAGAACCTGAAATTTAATGACCTTATGGACGTGGTGTTTCTCCATATCGCCTTAAAGAAATTAGACTCGGACACCGTGCGTGCGTTTGAAATGGACCATCGTAGCTCTGAGTTGCCGTCATTCGACTCATTAGCATCCTTTGTAAGAGATCAAATTAATGTGATACAGCGCTCCTCGAATGTCAAACAAGAAGTTAAGAAATGTGTCGATCGCAGACAGATCTCATCAACTAGGACTGCTGGTTCTCGGTCGTACGTAACCGCTGCGCCTACATCGCCTCATAGCGCCTGTGTTCTATGTAAGAATAAATAACACGATAATTTGTATAATTGTGCGACCTTTCGTAAACATTAACCCAGCGAATGTTATAGAATAGTAAAGACGAACAACTTATGTTTAAATTGTCTAAGCGATAGACATTTAGTTGCTAAATGCAATTCTAGTTCCGTGTGTAACAAGTGCGCCAGCAGACATCACACGTTATTACATATCGATGGTGGCAACGTATTCGCGTCGAGTAAATCGGACAAGGACTCTACACATACTAAAGTCAACGATTCTAGCGGTCGACCGGGTGACATCGCTCTGTGCTCACTGTCGAATACGGGAACGCAGTCTCCTTCCACCGTGTTGCTGGGTACAGTCTGTATCGTAGTTAGGGATTCGCGTGGAAACGAACAAAGTGTCCGTACGTTGCTAGACAGCGGATAACAGAGTAGCCTTATAACGCGACAATGTTGCCAGCGTTTAGGATTGCTAATAAATAAGATACCTTCATGTGCCGTAGTCAAAGGCATCGGAGGTACTAATAAAATTACCCAGGGCTCTATAAATTTGAAATTTTATTCTCAGCTAGATCGTAATATTAACTTTAAAATAAATGAATTAGTAGTAGATAAAGTCACCGGGCGTCTGCCAACCGTTTCGGTCGACACCTCGGCAATGATTGATTTTGAAAATTTGACTCTGGCAGACGGTACTTACGGCGTCTCCGGAGATATAGACATGCTCATTGGAGCATCGCTTTTCCCTCATCTTTTGTTACACAATAAGGTCAGGGGAAACTCCTCGCATACCACGTCTTACGCACTGGAGACTTCTGATACGCACAAGGTGCTCGGTTTGTGTTGGTTACTGGAGTCCGACGTGTTTAGACTTAAGGTAAACTCGCCCGCAGAAACGTGCATAAAGCGCACAATGCTGTCATGCGTTGCTAGATTATGGGATGTCATGGGTTTCGTAGCCCCGGTGGTGCTATACGCTAAGCTTTTGATTAAACAACTTTGGTTATGTGAATGCGATTGCGATGACCCGCCGCCTGATAGCAATGTTCGGTCGTGGCTACGTTTTAGAGAGGAACTTCCTTTACTAAGCGAAATTCAAATACCACGTCATATAAACGTCGATAGAAATAGCGTCATTACGGTCGTTTTGCAGATGCTAGCGTGAAGGCTTACGGGGGCGTTGTATATTTTCACGTCCAGAATAATGGTAGAAATTCGATCAACCTCATTAGCTCTAAGTCAAGAGTCTCCCCCCGTAAGGTCATCTCTCTCGCGCGCTTAGAGCTTTGCACGATATTATTCCTTGCCAAGCTTATCACCGCAGTTATCAGTGCATGTAGTGACAAAGTTCACATAGAAAGAATATTTGCCTTTTCTGACTCAACCGTCGCTTTACGTTGGGTTCATTCTTCATCCCACCGTTGGGATACGTTTGTCGCGAACCGAGTGGCCAAAATCCAAGACGAGTTAGGAACACAGAACTTTTATCACGTGTCCGGTGCGGAAAACCCTGCCGATTGTCTACCCCGTGGACTCACCCCGATGCAAATAATAGACCATTCGCTTTGGTTCCACGGACCTTCTTGGGTTCACTTGGAACCCTCGCAGTGGCCAATAACCGATTTTGACCCTTCGTCAGTGTCCCAACCACCGGAAGAGAAGAGACACGCTCTGGTGGCGAACGTTTCGAGCGAGGTTTCTCCAATCATTGCTTTGGCGAACAGTTTGTCCTCTTGGTCGAAATTATACAATTGAGTGCGTCATGAATAGTCGCCCCCTTTGTCATACGTTGTCAAGTGACCTCTCGGAGCCGCTGGCTCTAACTCCAGCACATTATTTGAATTTAACGCCTTTGAAGTATCTGCCCGCCATAGACATGGACGAGAACAAACTTAGTATTTCCGCACGCCATAAATTATTGGACCGGTTAGTGCAGTCGTTTTGGAAACGATGGAGGATGGAATACGTGCATACGTTGCAGTCTCGGCAAAAATGGAACACAACAACTGAACCTTTAACTGTCGGAACTGTGGTTGTGCTCACCAAGGAGAATACGCCGCCTCTCCATTGGCCATTAGAGATCGTCGAAGAAGTTTTTCCCGGTTCCGACGGGGTAACTAGGGTAGCTCGCGTTAGAACCATGACTGGGTCTTACATGCGCCCTGTTGTCCGTTTGTGCCCTTTTTCCCTTCAATAATTTGAATTAGCTTTCTAGATTAGAAATTGTAGTCGAAAATTAGGTTTAATCTTAGCGTTAGTTATTTTGAAGGTGACTCTTCAAGCCTTAGGGAATTAAGGATGGTTAGGCGGAAACGATTCTTGTATTTTAATTTTATTCGAGGGGCCAAGCGTTTATCCTTCCTTTGACCTCATGTCCCTTCCATACACACTGAAAGGGGGGAGGGAGGGGTCTAGAAGGTGACGCGATTCTTTCGACCAATTAGAAGCGCGCCCGACCCAGGTGCATTGGTGGGAAAGCCGAGGCAATATAGGCTCGCGCGCTGCCCACGAGCGTGCTCTCTTGCCACGCGCCGCTAGTTTGAACCGCATCACCTGGAGCAGTCGCGCTCCAGAAGCAACCGCCTCACATAGTGTGAGATATCGTCGCGCACCGCTCTCTTTCTCCGCACGACTGGCCTGGATCACATCTCTGGGGCGCCCCAGAAGAACCCACCTCACGTCGCATCACCGCAACGGAAGCGCCTCAGCCGCATCGAAGTCACACCCCGGTAAGTGTGTTTTTCCCGTAATTCAGTGCCTGCTTGAATATTTGTTTGTTAGTTAACCCGCCCCATTTCATTTCTCCTAACGTGCTCAAGTAGGATTCCTTCATAACCTTGGCAAGCAATAGATTTCGGAAGAGCGAGTGCATTGTCAAGGAACCGCGTACCACATCCGCCTTCTTGTTGAGGCAGAAGAAGCTTCCCGCGTATACAGTCCATCTAGTATAACGTCTAGCGTAATAGGGTCAAGGCTCGACCGGGGAATTGAACTCGGGAACCCTAAGGCCCACCGCCAAACCACACACAATTTAGATTTAGAAAATTTACACTTTATATAAATTAATCAGATTTTTATCGCTTCGCGTAAATTATTTTCTATTATTACGTTTATTACAACTTATTTTATATTTCCGACGTTTTTAATGCTTTGCACTACCTTTGGTCACGAGGCAGGGGAGGATTTTAATTAATTTTAATTTAGGTCCAATTTACACATATTATGTCCTAAAGTCTCGCAGTGTTACGCTTGGGCTTAAATTTAAGAAAATAAATAAATAATTTTGTCAACAAGCAGTAGGGCAGTGCGATGAGTTCGGTCACGGTCCTAAACAAATCATTTTAGAAATATGTAGATGCCTGTGCCTAGCAGTAGGACGTATAAAGGCTGTTAGGGTTCGTTGTAGCTGAATTTGATGTTACTTTTGCGCATGTAACCGATAAGCGATAATCAAAAGAAAGGACAACTTAAATCTTTGATTATATTGTCATTCTAGATACATCACAATCATCGTCTCTACGATTTTAAGATTTACATATTTTGAGAATTACATAATAAAGTTTACTTGGCTATTTGTGTTATTTCGCCTATGAGTCATATAAAGATCTGCAGAATTTAGGAAAAAAAATCTGCTGTATTACATTAGCGCAGCACAAAATGGTATTCCGTTAATATTTTTGAAAAAATATATTCTTTCGGTATAAAATGTTTTAGATTTAAGTATATTAATAATAAAATTATAAAAAACATTACTTTTCATAATAATTTAATTACGATTTCTGAGATTAGATTAAAATTCATTTGGTGATTCGACGCCACCGGTATAAATCCAGTAACACTAAATATTACGGGAAGATAAGATTTATGATTTTCTTAACGATACTTTAAAAATATTAAGACTACTTTAAAAAATAGTAGTAGTTAAATATTAGTAGTATTAGACGTGATTCTTTCATAAACAAACAGACTGACAGACAGACAACAAATTCCAAAAATGGTAGAAATTTATTTAAATATAAACTTATTTTTAGTCTCTCTCAATTATTTTGTCACAAAATTATAAAATGTAAAGAAACATGCTATGTCTGTATAGAAGAAGATTTGACTTACAAATTAAGTGCATGTGCAACATTTCAGCTTCATTTTTTAAAGAATGACATGTAATAGATAGACTTAATTTATAGGTGAGTTGCTCGCCCTCCAAAGAAATGGGAGGCCAAAGTTTATAGGCCTTGAACAGTGTAATAACAAGATGATGATGACGATGATGATAGACCTAGCTTTGGCACCTATTGATTTAGCACAAATAAATACAGACTTACCAAAAACTTTAACTGTCGTAGTCTTATTAGTGGAACCTAATTTGTTTACAGCTTTACATATATATTGCCCCGAATTTCTAACAGAGGCCTTGAATCTGTCGAAAAATACAAGGGTCAGCCGTGCATTGGTGCTTAAGTTTAGGCATACATGAATAAGAGGAAGGTTACAAAGTTATGAATTAGTTGTAGATGACGACATACCCCTGAGCAACGACATAACGAAACGGCCTCTTATCCCCGGCGGTTCAGCTATTCCTTGCTAACGGACCTTGGTAACGGCGTGGCAGGGAGTGCTAAGAATATCCGGTAGAGGTTCAGTTATCACCTAAGACGACTCGATCTGGTAATATTTAAAGCACGCACCCTGAGGACTGACGAGAAGATCCTGGAGGTGGAAAAGAGATAGACAAGTTGCTCTAGGATATTGTAGGATCATCTGAGATGCGAAGGGAGGGGAAGAGCACGTCAATACTCTAATCTGTCAACTTGTTCTATATCCGGGTCGGCGAACATCTGTACCAAGAAGGTATCAGACTTGTCGTCCACTATCTCTCGTTAATAACGTTGTAAAGATTGAGTGTGTCAACGAGGAATGTGTACCTTATACTTAGAGTCACCAAATGACATTCGTTGAAGGCAGGTGGAGGAAATGCATGAGTATATATATAGAGTCATGCTTCTTCCAAAACTTTCTATACGATTTTAATGGAACACTTCAACGCAAAACTAGGCATAAGAGAGAACGGCGAGCTGAAAGTAGGGAAATTTGGGATAGGGCAACGGAATCCAAGAGGCCAGCAGCTAGCTTAATTCATGGAGAAAGAGGGATTCTTCCTGATGAACTCTTCCTTCAGAAGCGGCTCCACAAAAAGTGGATCTGGTCAAGTCTCAACGGTTCAACAAAATAAAATTGACTTCATTGTGACGACCAGACGGCACTTGTTCAGTGATGTCTCAGTGGTCGCAACAGTGGAAACTGGTAGCGATCACCATATAGTAAGAGGCACATTGAACCTTTGTGTTAAGTTGGAGAGGTCACGTGTAATGAAGTCAACTTTGCGTTCCCTTTGTGCCTCTCTAATCCAAAGCCCTGAAAACTTTCAGTTTGAATTTTAAAAAAAGTTTTCTGTGCCTAAAATCTAGAATCGTCGCACGTCGTAAAATTCATAAACACTTTAATCACACTCTGAATCTCACGATTAATGAAGCTGAAGTCTTCATCAGATATGGCAGCAGAGAACAAGACAGATCTCCAATTGACGATTCGCAATGACCCTCGAAAACAACACGTAGATGCGGCTTGAAAGGGAAACCGGTATATAGTTCCTCAATAGAGCGTTGCCCTCTTTCTTAAAGTGCAACACGACTAAGGTTGTACCTGTTGACCGAATTAAAGAGCATCTAAAGTACTATAAAAGTACCCGTTTTTTATTCGCTTTCATAATCTCAACTGTAAATCGAGGTTTTTCCATTTTTAGATAAAGAAGAGCCATTCTAATCTCGCTTAGACTGACGTCCGGGATATCATCAGAATAGTGTTGGATAAAAATTGCTCTTGTATCGTTACTACCTAACACTCGGAATCGTTTACAGCTGCCCGTAGAACCTCTCAATCTTACCCATAATCTCAGTTGTCCTGGAAACGACGCTACCAGATTTGGTCTTCAACTTCGACAGTTGTCTCTTTCTGACAAAAATATATCTGGTAAAGACTTTGGAGCCTTGGTTCCGCTCAATCGCTTTTATTATACGAGCTTTATTAAAGTTGCGTACTCTCGCCATATCTATTTGGAGATTCGTCTGTTGAGTTACTTGTATGGTGTGTGCATCTCCTTTACCTCCATATCGGGATGTGCTGAAGTTGGTGCGTAAACCTGTATGATCTTCAACGAATAGCATTTGATGATTTTGAGTATAATGTACGCAACTCTGGGCGACACGCTCCTAATGTTTACAACGTTGTTAACTAGGGACTTGAAGACCACAAATTCGACAACTCCTTCGGAAAGATGACCGCCACCCCGATGATGGAACAAGTTGCTGGATTCGAGAATAACTGTATCCCACCTCTGTCTTCCCAACGCAACCTCTTATCAGCTTTATTCATCTAAGGTCTCCTCCAGCGATTCTTAGCATTCCTTGCCTCACCGTTACCGTGGTCGCTATCGCAGTCAATAATAGCGGGTTTACCGGGAAATCGCGACCACTTTATGGTGTAGATATTTTTAATTGTAATTTTGATGTTATCAGAAATATGCTGCTGCTCGTCTACTGGTTTGTTTCCCACTGTCACTTCTTACGACATCTACTAAACGATATGGATTAGTGGATAAATATCCATCAGTAAATAGTAACATGGAACTTGTAATCTCTCAATAAGTTGCTATTTTCCGCTTACTCACAGAATACCAGAGCCTAAGAGCAGCTTGCCGCTGTATTTCCAATGGAAGACCCTCTTTACTCATAACGAGGTATTCTATCTTTGTCCTCAGGGGTAGTAATGGGTACAGCTGAAGACCAGTTTTTCATTCTTAATCGAAGACAGATCTACGTGTTTATGAACTACAGCATCTACTTAAAAATATAAAAAATGAGTACGTGTAACAATTATTTACGCGCTTTTGAAGTAAAACTGAGACATATTGACTTTGCATCTCTTTTATATATAATTTTAAATAAAACTAGTAATTATACCTTAAAGTGTTATCCCTGTATATGCGGTACTGGTTTCCATCGCTTATTTCTGTTCCATTAAATGACCATGTAACGTCTGGTATTGGTACTCCCTCTACTAAGCATTTGATTGTGGTTTTTTGACCAATCTTTTGGATTAATGTCTTATGTTTCCTATCTTTAATAATAGGAGCATCTGAAAATATATTTTATTAATTATAACAACATAGATTTACAGCGTGAGTTATGCGACAAGTTAGACTAATCCTAATCATAAAATCCTTATCTTTAGGAAGTATAACGAACGCCTATAAATATTGTTAAAACACAAATACTCGTAAATATAGATTAAACATACTTTTATTTACGGTCTGTCATAACCCTGAGGGCATTCGCTGCGTTAAGCGAGACACCTGTGCGGTTACAAGTGCGCGTGTTTCTCTGCTCCTCTGTTTCTTCAAAACTCAAGAGCAGCGCTACGTGGTGCAGACTGCCCGCTACACGCGGCCCGTGCGATGAGTCATCAAGGCAACCCATCGCATGATCATGCTCGCGTGATTAGACTGGGCACGCCTTTTATTAATGACTCAGTTATTATTAACGAGCATCCCGATCTTTATAGAATTAGCATGGTAGAGCCACGCTGCAGCTAAATTATGGTTGTAGCACGAAGGAGTTGGCTCGACCGGGGAAGGACCACGTACTCACAGAATACCAGTGTAAATAAGCAGCTTGATGCTGCTGTGTTTCGTATGGTGAGTGTGGAGAACCAAAGACCCGTTTTACTGGAATCGAGGCGGTCCATCTTAGTCCTCAGGAGTGACAACGGATCTGCATTTTGATTCTTAATCGAGGTTAAATATAGAGTCTATGAGTCCATGAGCCACAGCATCCACTTACTTAGCAAAAAAATTATTTGCTATATCCCCATATTTTACGCGCTCCAATCCCAAAGGCCAGCCCCCACAGCCAAACGAAAAAAAAATTATTAAAAAACCCCCTCTCTCTGCCTGTTTTTTTCTCGCTTCTTTTTTTTTTTAAGCAGGGCAGGAGAGGGAGAAAACCTTTTTTTTATTTAATTTTAATATAATTATTACAGGTTCCATATTAATCAAAGTAATGCAGGTGTTGGCATTATTATTGTTATTTTTAATAAATATATATATTTTACATGTAGTGGACCCATGCTGCTGATACATTATGGTTGTAGAGCGAATAGGACATTTTTATTTTTAATCTAAATCAATTTATAAATCTACTTAATATTCTGATCAAATTTATTTTATTATTTATCGTAATAGAAATAAACTTGATTCACATTAATTGTTTTTATTGAGACACATAATATAAAATGAAGTGAGTATTTATTCAAGCATATCTCTGTTTAATAAGATTGAATCACATACAATAAAAATATTAATAGTTACTTTGCAATAATCCGCTCCATTAAATAAAATGATGTGTCTTACCTTGTTTGAAGAGCTAAAAAGAAATTTAAGCCCTTAATACTGTTGAACAGAGTGTAGTCAAGTCTGGCAAGTTTTCCAATGGAAATTAACCTTGTCACCAGGGATGTACGGGTACACAATTAAATTTAATACGGACAACGTAACGTTTTTCGATATAATCCATTTTATTTTGATGAAATATTAATACCTAGTTAACATTGAATAGTATTTACGTATTTTATCGCGTTTAATTAACTATTTTAATTTATTTTTTAATCCCGACGTTTCGGGTGTTTTACAATGCCCATGGCCACGGGGGGATTGAGATGTTTGACGTCCCAATGTCATAGTTATCCCGGCTACCTTCAGTTTTTGAATATTAATTTTTGGTGCGATCTACGCAAAACGAGCTTACAGTATCTTGAAGTCTTGCAGTGGTATATTGTTAATTATAGGATCCCAAGCAGATGGCGGCACCCATCCATCTTCTCTTTTGAAATTAGGATGATTTTTAATTTCAAATGCCTTGCGTATCATCCATGGTAGTAATCGGTGTTCTTTAGCGAGGATTTGTGGTTTATCAAATCTGTTGTAATGGTGGGGACGATCTTGAACATGTTCATAGACTGCAGACTTGACGTCAACTATATGTTCTTTCACGCAATTTTTTATAGATCTTTTTGTTTGACCTATCTAATAGATACACATTCCCAATCTAGTTTATACACTCCTGCATATCTGCAAGCTACCCGAGAGTGTGAAAGTTAATTTTGGCATTTTATTTTAACGTAGAATTTGCCGACGACGTAACATCTTTGTTCAGTGCTAGTGAATATAGGTATCTACACTAACTAATTAACAGTATTGTTTTAGATATGGCAGCATGAGAGTTAATTTTGGCACTTTATTTTAATGCGGAATTGTGCTGGCGACGTAACATTTTTGTTCAGTGCTCCAGAACTTTTGATGTTTTTGTTTGAAATACTGAATGTAGGTATTTATACATCTTTGCAATAAGGTAATATTATTAGAAATAGCCTAGTGCAGGCCAACCTCCACCACAGCGAAAGTGCGTCGGCTCAATTACGCAAGTGGTTGGAGGCACAAAGGACGGCCATAGCCCTAATACAGGAGTCATGGTTTGGGGCTGGTAAAATTGTAGTCCTAAATAACCTAAAAGGTAAGTTATTCTACAACTTTGACCACGATAAACCTAGAGTGTGTATTTATATTACTAAAGATATCTGTGCAAAACCATTAACAGATTTCTGTTCCAGAGATATGTATGCCGTAGCAACACAAAATACACAGGAGGGAAGATTAGTCGTTGCCTCGGTCTACATGCCTGAGGAAAACACTCCTCCCCCCTCATGATCTCCTCAGGCTGGTGAATTTCTGCAAGAAGGGCCAGACTAGAGGTTGTGATCGGAACGAACTCCAACGCGCATCATCCCCTTTGGTGAATGGAAAAACCCAATGAATGAGGTAAGGTGTTAGTTGAATACTTATTTAGCACTAACCTAACTATTTTAAACACTGGTACTGAACCAAATTTCATAAATAAACGTTGTCGCACAATAATCGACCTCACGCTTGCAACAGAAGGAGCACTTAAACCAATAACGAGATGGCATGTGTCAAAAGAGGCCTCATGCTCAGACCACAGATGGAACTGCTACGTACTACAGGTTGATATCCCCGCTATACCACCATGGAAAAATCCCCACAAGACGGATAAAATAGAATACCTCAATAGGCTCACGTCTTCGCACGCGAATGTTAGGGGAACAAATACTATGATATATGCAGATTAATCGCTCCTAGATGAACAGGTAACAGCTCTCACTAAAGCCATGATCGATAGCTACCATGAATCATGTCCAGTAATTACTCCACCAAAACATGCTGACCTAAAGCAAACGTGGTGGGGTAACTAGACAGGAAACGTAAGAAGGTAAGAAAAGCCCTAAATATGGCCATGAATACCTCAACGAATGAAGACTGGCTACTACATAAGAAAGCTAAGGCTAAATTCAAAATATGTATCAGGTATTGACGCTCAACAGAGTGGAGCAAATTTTGTGGTAACAGAAACCTGTGAACAAGCGAATCAGATAAGGAAAATCCTAGCTAAAGAGAACACGCCGGGATCCATATATCGGGAAACTCGACGGAAGCTACTCAACATCGCCGGATGAAACCCAGCGCATCCTAATTGAAACTCACATCCAAGGTCGCTGTGTAGTTGAAAGGGTAAACCGGCATGAAGATGCACTGACACCAACAGAAGAAGACTGGAATTTAGCACAGAGAGTGGTGACGATGGAGAAAATTCATTCGGCCGTTCATAGTTTCTTCCCCTATAAATTGGCAAGACCTGACGGCATATTCCCGGCACTTCTACAGTGGAGGGTGAGGGGTAAAGCCCTAACAGTCAGATTTGTTGCCATAAAGAGAGCGTGTCTGGCTCTTAAATATGTTCCTAGGGAATGGAGGGAAGTGAAAGTCATGTTCATACTCAAACCAGGTAAGAGCGACTATACAGACTCTAAATCCTACAAACCCATTAAACTCACATCCTTTCTCCTAAAGACGATGGAGAGAATGTGTGTACGGGATTTGAGAGGGTCGGCGCTAATCAACTCACCACTTCTCGAAAAACAACACGCCTACAGCTTAGGTAAATCGACATAATCAGCACTTTACCACGTAATAACAAAAATTGAAGAGGCCATCCAAAACAAAGTAATATGTCTAGGCTCCTTCGTAGACATAGAGGGTGCTTTTGACAGAACAAACCTCTCCAGCATAAAAGGTGCACCTTTTATATCTTTTAAGTAGACATAAAGTTGAACTGGAACTGATTCACTGGGTAAACAGTACACGAACAATAAAGATTGCTGGTGAATCTCAAATACGAGTAATTCAGATTATGAAAGAATGCCCGCAGGGTGGGGTTCTTTCATCTCTCCTGTGGAATATGGTCATTAACGAACTCATCAGCAAATTAAATGCTTATTATTCCTACACAGTAGGTTATCCAGATGATCTGACAATACTGGTCTCTAGAAAGACAGCAAGCATGGTGTGCGACTTGACCCAAGCGACTCTCCGTATAGTGGAGAGATGGTGCCGGAAATACGATCTAACAGTTAATCCAAACAAAACGTTTCTAATAATGTTCACACAAAAACGAATGCTGAATAACTATCATCTCCCAAGTCTTTTCAGCAGCATCTTCTGAGGTAAAATACTTAGGTCTTACCTTGGACAGTAAACTTAACTGGAATAAACACATAGAAAACAAAATCAACAATGCTAGTATAACTTTCTGGAAATGCAGAAACACGATTGGCAAACGATGGATTTTGACGCCAGAAATTATATTGTGGCTGTATAAAACTGGTATTCGGCCCATGATCACATACGGCTCTCTGGTATGGTGGACCAAAACTAATGAAGCCACCACTATAAAAAAGCTTCAGCGTTACCAGAGATTGTCATGTATGGCTGCCACGGGCTGCATAAGTACCACACCGACAGCAGCTTTAGAGGCTACACTGGAGCTAACCCCGCTTCATCTACATATAGAACAAGAAGCAACTTTAGCTGCAATTAGAATATAAATCTTTTAGGTAAAAATGGAGTCCCCCATACAAGTATAATTGATAGAATTTACTCAAAAATTTATATCTTACAAGCCAAGAACGATAAGATTCTCCAAAACAATTTGTATTCGATAAGAAGTATAAGATACAATTAAATTAAACTGACCAGCCGGAAGGATAAAACGCAAAAGAGCTTAGAGTTTTCACAGATGGTTCTAAAACAAATGAAAGTATAGGATCTGGAACTTTCTCTGAAGACCTTAATATTCACATATGTACACCGCAGGGCAACCATAACACAGTCTTCCAAGCGGAATGTATCGGTATCATCCAAGCGGTCATAGCAATAGATACTATGAAGGAAGGTAAAAGAGTTCTCCACCAGAATACCGACCGACAGTATGAAAGAAATAAAAAAAAAATTCATTTTATTCCAGTTTAAACACGCAGCACAACAACTAAAAAGTAATTAAATGTCAAAATATAAATAATTAAATTAAAAGTAATGTAACATCATTATAAATTTAAGAAAAAAAAATATTTAAAAAATACCCTGTGCTGCAGCATAAAACTGCGAAATGGACCGGACTCAGTGACAGCACTGGTTTTAGTCCAGCCCTTATCCAGAGGCAGATCGGGCGGCTGAGTGCACGCTCGCGCTTGATGTCCGAAAATTCATAATATACTATTACGAGCTTGAGGTTCGTGACAATAAAAACTGCCGATTGAATTACCAAAATTTACGTTTTTATTACCGAACACCAATTAAAACTTAAAAGACACTAATAATTAATCACACTGATTCACTTTATTTCGCTCCGAAGCTTCACTTGTCGTGCCAAATTCAATACTGCCCCAATCGCGGCTTGCCGCGGCTTTAAATACACCTTTTCCATCCAGATTCCATTCCATTCCAAAAATCCAGAATATTCCAGCAAATACGAGCGCCGACCGACCAGGTGCAGAAAGGTCGAGTGTGGGACTTCTAGAAAGCTTAATTCTTCTGTTCCATACTAGATGGCACTGTTGGTGGAAAGTTCAAGATTGACATTTTCTAGGAATCCCTCCTCGCTCTGATCACGTCTGCTGATGACGTCAACTTAGGCGTGCAACAATACAATATACATATACATATGCATACCTGTAGTTATATATAATTGGACTTTCATTTTGTTCCGCAAGTCAGTTGCATAATCGGTTATACTGCGTGGGGCATCAGGTGGTAACCCGGTGACCATGTCTGCAGGCAGCCGAAATTCTCTTCGAAAGTTTACGAAAGCTGGTGTTACTGATGTACTTTCGTGAACAGCGCTTCGATATGACAACAAAAACGGTTATATGTGCTTGTCCCAATCTCGTTGCCGATTGTCTACAACTTTTGCTAGGTACCTCTCCAATGTCTGATTAAATCGTTCTACCATTCCATCAGATTGCGGGTGATAAGAAGTCGTTCTTGTTTTATGAGTACCCATAACTCGACAAGTTTCCTGGAATATTTGAGACTCAAAATTCCTTCCTTGGTCGCTGTGAAACTCTAAAGGTACTTCAAAACGACAAAAGACTTCATGAACTAGTTTATCTGTAACTGTTAAAGCTTCTTGATTTGGAATGGCAAAAACTTCTGGTCACTTAGTGAAGTAACACATCAAGACCATGAAATACTTGTTACCGCTTTCACTACCCGGAAAAGGCGCCGCCACGTCAATGGCTATTCTTTCCCATGGTGCACCAACATTGTACAACTTCAATGCACTTCTACTACGAGTCTGAGGTCCCTTTACAGCCGCACAATAAGGACTTGTGTCGCAAATGTACAACATTTGCGACACAAGTCCTTATTGTCTGGTCCTTATTGTGTCCTTATTGTGTGCAACACACACAATCACCATTTTGAGAGAACGAGGAACTCGCATAAATTAACACGCAGAGTTAGGTTTAGGTAATTGCGTATTCGATAAAGTACTTTTAACCTAAAGAAGCAATTACGTACAATATTAAAAATGTGCTTCTTGAATCGCAGCTGCTCGTTCATCACTACACAAAGATTTCTCGCTTCAGGGACTATTTCTAATGTATCCTTACTTAAGACAACAGTGGGACCTTTCGAGATAATCTTTCGTACCTATGTTGGTGTTCCCAGTATCATATATATATATATATATATATATATATATATTGATTCAGAACTAGTGTGTTACGCTCAGATTACAGAGATATGCGATTCGAGTCGGCGTTAAGCTTCGCCAAAGCGACATCTGTATCGCAAGGCTTAAAAGAAATATATACCTGTAAGTCGTCTGCATACATGTGGAACTTACAATGCTCTTTATTATTTACAATATCCGCGCTATAAAGTATAAAAAGCAGTAGTCCTAAGATAGACCCCTACGGAACTCCCCGTTCAACCCGCCAACTATCCGAAGTGATTCTGGTGTTATAGTTTCTTGTTAATAGGACTCGCTGGGAACGGTTCTTAAAATAGCTGCTAAACCACTTAATAGCATTACTACTTAAACCATAGTATGCTAATTTAGAAAGTAGTATGAAAACATTAATGGTATCGAATGCGCGTGAGAAATCCAACAAAGTCAAAATATTGCCCTTTCCGTTGGCTTGTGCTGTCAGTATGTCGTCTACGACCTGAATTAAGGCAGTTGTAGTGCTGCATTGTTTTCTGAAACCCGATTGCAGCCTGGGCATTATATTATTGGTCTCAAGATATTCTGTTAATTGCTTACATGCTATTGTCTCGGACAGGTAGCTGGGATTTCATCATATCCTCAAAAATTAATTATTTGAAGTGTCATTATCGTTCTTTTTACATTAGTCTCTGTAACAGTACTCAGATATAGTAAATTCAGTCATGGATATTAGAGAGCCGATTTAAACCTATAGTTATGTAATAATTATTGAATGAGTTTGCAATTTTACTGGGATAATAATAATCCGTCCTTACGTAAACAAATGTTTCCATATTCATCCAAAATAGATATAATTTGGTTCTGAAATTTATTATAGTTTAAATTTACATCATTTGTTGGGGTCATTATGTTACACCAATCGACTTCACTTAGTTTATATAGAATATAGAAGTTTATATAGTAGACATTTTTCATATTATTCTCATTAAAATCGTTTGTTTATTTTATAATTTTTTTCTATTTATGTTCCCTTTTACTGGTATTTGCACAATTAATGTGTGATGGCCTGATAAGTCATAATTTTGCACAAAGGATGTCATGTATGTATTTTTAAAAATTTTAAATTGGTCTTATGTTGGAAAATTGGTCCTAGACTTCTAAAGTCCTTTCGAAAATGGCAAAGTTGCTAGGCTTCACGGTATCTCAAGTACTATTACTAAATAAATAACTTGTACCCCAACTATGTAATATTTTTAATAATTGGCTTACGTATTTTTTTTAATTTGACTCGATGGGATGGTGGTGTACTATGATGAAAAAGCAAATTAAATCGAAATTGCCTTTTACTTACATTCAACAACTAAGTCTACGACGTGAATGTCTTCGCCGATTTCATTTTTTGCTACACATTTGTAGGTGCCAACCATGGCTAAATTTATATTCTCAATGTATAAGTTTTCAGTATGTTCCTTAATCTTGTTAAATACATCATTTTTTTCGTGTTTAAAAGACCAGTAAATCGTCGGCGTTGGTTTACCTTTCAAAACTCTATAAACAGATTTTTATGTATTATTCGTTGAATAAAAGAAATATAACGTTGAAGTAAAAATAGCTCAGCAGTTATGGGAAATAAAAAAATCACCTGCATAATATACTCATGCTGGATCCTATACCGACAGAAATTTCAGTAACATTTTTATCTATTTTTGGATATTCTGCAAAATAAAACTAAACGTAAAGTTGTTTGTAGACTATTACTTATTTTACTGAATTAAGAGATAACACTTACCAATATCTGTAATTGATAGTTTTATATAATAGACAGCTCTTTTTAAGTTGTTCCGTACCTCGCACATAAATTTTCCGGCGTAATTTGGCTTCATTTGTTTGATAAACAATGAAGATCGATCAGATGACATACTTATTTCATTATTCATCTCAACTTCCTTTCCATTTAGATACCAAGTAATATTTGCAGGAGGGACTGCATTTACTTTACAATTTAAAATTTCCTTCTCGTTGTATTTAACAGTTTTATCTATCCAAACATAATTTTGATGAAATACTTATTAAGGTAACAGTAACAACGTTAAGGTCTTATTATAGCTTTATTGTATTTAATACGAATATTGATTTTTTATATTATTTTTTTTGCCTACTATATAAGATTATTATTGATTATTATCGTCATTATGATCATCACCATAGTTACAGTCTACCAAAGTCCAATGATGACTATGTTTATCCATCCGTTTACCTTATGAAAGGGATATAGCCATAGTTGTCACACTGGGCAGACAGATTGGCAACTGAATTAATATGATAATTATAATAACAATAATATTAATTACATATTCAAATAATTAATTTGAGTTGTCATCAGAAACATCCCGCTGCCTGTCTCCTGTTATAGTTTCCCTCTATCGACTCTTACAACATCCTCTGGAAGATATTACACGGCATATGGTTCTCTTACTTCGCCACTCCACGGCTAAGTATCACCGCAGTAATGATAATATAAATCAACTAGTATTTAAAAACATAATATTACCTTTAGAAATATTCAAAACTTCAAATTGAGTTTTTATTTTTACGTCAACAGATATCTCATTATTTCCAAAGTCGTTGCTCGCTTTACAAATATAAGTATTATTCGTGATAATATGATCTATATCTAACACACTAATATATTCATATGGAAGTCTTTTTGGTGAGACCTTAAAAACATTACATAATATTATATTTATACAATTTTAGGTTTAACAAGTTTTTATTTTATTCAAACCAAATTCCACAAATATTTTAATACCGTAAATGTCAATGATGAACCTAATTTGTCTTCCCATACAATTTTAGGTTCTGGATATCCAGCCACGCTACATTTTAACTGCAAAGGATGACCATAATTGGAAACTATACTTGTTTCTCCCATGATATTGGCTATAGGTGTCTTGTTCTCTATGGGTTCTGTTAACAGAAAATATGGTTTAATTACTAAAGATGTATCAATTTCTAGATATTATAATATTTTTAATGTTCTGCTAAGGTTATGCTATGTCACTCATCAACATGTACACAGCAGGTTGTATTCTTCTTTTTGTTTAGAATGATGTGCGTAACTTCTCACCTGCTTTATTGTTTCCGGTACTGTATCTTTATCTTTTTTTATTCATGATGGACTCACAACCTGACACAGACCACCCCATAAATTGCACATAAGAGAGATTTTTGCTATAGTTGTAACGCTTGTAGGCGGATGGGTAACCGTAGTTTATATGTTTTCAAATGGTTATAGAGGACGCTGCTGCCTATCTCCAGGTTTGTTTTCCTCTGTTGCTTCTTAAGATATCTAGTCGTACTAGACATGGGTGATCTTTCTGTCATTCTAGTTTGGAAAAAACCTATTCACCCTTCTTTGTAAGATACTCATATCGTATTCCGTCGGAATGCAACTACAGGATAGAATCCCGCCATACATCTTTTTATCTTATAATTAAAAGTGAATGAGTTTATTAAATTAGTAAAAACTTACTACTGTTTACATTACTTTTTATGTTTTATATTATTTTTGCTTTTATAAGTTCACTTTTATTTTTTTGTAGTATTTTCTATTTTGCGGTTAACGATCGTACTGAGGAGAGGTGTTAGGTTTTCTATAAACACCTTAAAATAATAATTGGTCTAAATATGCAGAGAGTTGTTATTATTTTCTTGCTTAGAAAACAGTATTTACAAAATAATGGAAATATTTTTTAAATTGATGTCATGAAATTGCATAACTTAACTCGCTAAATCATCGAAAGTTCAACATAGGATCTGTCATAGTGCTATCATGGAATAGCAAAGGTTTAATAATTTAATTATGGAATACAACTATAATACAATCTAGCGAGATACATAATAGGTAATACCTCTTTATACGATTTTGACAACACTCATAATATTAACTTTTATAATGACTAATGAAAATTAAATACTGCTACTATTACTATACATTAATCAGGTGCTCCTCGTCTAGTTGATATTTTTAAGTTTTTTGATTTATACAAATTATATAACAATTTTATAAACTATTTGCTTTAGAAAAAAAACTAAATTAAGAGGATTGTGAAGCTGTAAATTTTCATACAAAAAGCGATAACGTTATGATCCCACCCCTAAACATAGTCTAATTTTCATAATTTTTGAAAATGTGGTAGATATAATGAAAAAAAAAAACGCACGGGCCTAACGTTTTTATTTTACGGAAATATTGTGTACATTATAAGTTGTTAGCATCTTAATATCTATATTTTGACTTGAAAATTTCCTCGAGCGTTTTTTTTTAATTTACTAACCCGAATTACTAACTAAGAAAAACGTACAGACCTAAATTAAAGTATACTGAATCTAATGAGGAAAAATTTTCTTATTTAGTAAAGGTTTAGGAGGTTGAAAACGTTATCGCTCAAAACAATATTTATAAGAAAAATGTAAACATTTACTTTCAACATTTGCAACTCTCTCTCTATCGCACGACGGCGATACGGAGCGAGCGATGTGAAACAGATAGCATTTTTGAAGATACCTCTCGCGCCTCGCGTTTTGCAATCTCTTAGGCCGGTTTCAGAGCTCGAGCGACCGTCGATGCGTACGTCGGTCGCGCTTGCCTTTTGTATGAAAATTCACAAGTCGTTACAGTGCTCGACCGACCGTACGCACGCGTATGTACCTACACGCACTGCGTACGAGGACCGTCGGTCGAGCGCGTCCGCATACGTACCGTCGGTCGACCGACGCGCTATGGAAACATATTGACGTGCTCAGTGCTACACCGACCGTACGGATGCGTGTATGATCGTCAAGAAAATCAAACCTAAACTTTAATAATATTGTATGATTTTATAGGTATTAAGTAGTGTTAGTGATTTAAGTATTTTTTATCAAACATGGTATATGTCGACACCGAACACTTCGCCGATGTTTTAAGTTGTCTTGTAATTTCACTGACAGTTCATCAAAACTTTTGATTGACATTCTAAAGTAATTAACATTTTTTTCTTCATCTTCGCGCAATAATGAATATAAAGCAGTAAATTCCCCTTGAAGTGCTCTTTGGGCGATGATTGGTTGAACCTGATATCTACGTCTTCTGTTCCTTACACGTTTAAGAACATAGTAACCAGCAATTAAACAATTAACGCGTCCATTTCGTGTACGTGTTTGTGACTGTACCAGAACGGCCAATTTCGTTGCTCAGGAAAGCTCTGAACGCTACAAACTGACGATCAGTCGAAATGCGTATCGTCAGGACCGATGGTACGCACTGACGGTCGGTCGAGCTCTGAAACCGGCCTTATATTCCATTTAACTCGTAAATTGGCAAGAGTTTGTGTTTTAAATCGAATTTATTTTTTAATACTTTATACAGTGAAATAAGGCGATTATAAATGTTTGAATCAATTTTCCTTACCATCTGAAAGCATTTGCGGTGCCACGGGTGAGCTATATAATCTGTGTATGGTTTCATTCGTGTCTTCTTTGACTCCTTCAATCTACGTACAATAGTTAAATATAGAAAAAAATGAATTAGGTTTAATATTTAATATACAAAGTAATTTGTAATATCAACATGTTATTACCCTAATTTTGAAAATTTGTTCTGGGGGACTAATTTGCTTTGTGATATAAAATTGATCTTCAGTATTGACAGTCCTCAGAGGCTCTTCTAAAATAATATTACTTTCAGTATCCAACAATTGTACTTTTTGTAGTTTTATTTTTTCTCCTTTAGTTATAAGTTTAATAGACAAATAAGATTTTCGGCCTGAAATTAAAAAAGTATATCTTACAGGACTTATTTACACGAGAATTACACATTGTATTAAACAAACTTTAAGAATTTCATCAGGTTAAATTTAAACTATTTTTAATGTTTCGGGTGCTTTATAAGTATTAATGGTCAAGGGAGACTAAAGTATTTGACATTCTTAACCTAGTTAATCTGAGTTGCTTTTAGCTTTTGAATAATAACATTTGGTTCAATCTATGCAGAATGAGCTTACTGTATATTAAGTGGATATGGTGTGTTGGAATGTTTGAGTTTGGATTTAATTTTATTAAGTGTAGGACCCCAAGTAGATGGAAATACCCAGTCATCTTCTGTATTGTAATTAAGATATTTTTATTTTATTTCAATATCCTCGTGAATCATACTTGGTAGAGAACGGTGTTCTATTGCGAAGATCTGGGGTTTATAAAATCTAATATAACGGCTGGAGCGATCTTGAACTTTCTTTTTTTTTGTATAAGAGGGGGCAAACGAGCAGACAGTTCAACTGATATTAAATGAGGAATTGCGGGTGCGTTGCCGGCCCTTTAGAAAGGAGTAAGCTCTTTTCTTGAAGGTCCCCAGGTCGTATCGGTTCGGAAAAATCACCGGTGGTAAACAATTCCACTGAGAGGTCGTACGCGGAGGAAAACTCCTAGTGAAACGTACAATATTGGACGGCCAAGCATCCAGATGGTGAGGATGGTATTGGGAGGTTTGCCGCGTAGTGCGTTCATGAAATTTGGTGGCTGGAACTAATTCGAACAATTCTTTAGAGCATTCCCGTGATAGATGTGATAAAATACACAAAGAGATGCAACATCTGTTCGTAGCGCCGGTGAATCACTCGGAAAGCACTCGGTCGTCGATGATTCGAGCCGCTCTGCGCTGGATGCGGTAAAGTTGAAGGAGCTGCCACTAGTGAGTCCCAGCCCAGAGATGGGAACAGTATTCCATGTGAGGCAGAACCTACGCCTTGTAAAGTTGCAGGTGGTGTGGCGGCATGAAATACTGTCCCGCTCTGCCGAGCACGCCAAGCTTTTTAGAGGCCAATTTGGCCTTCTCTTCCAAGTGACCACGAAATTGTACGTCACTCGATATGTTGACGCCGAGGATTCCGATACTGGCTGAGGCAACAAGGGGAGTGCCTTGAAACCAAGGAGATACGACAAAAGGGTTCTTTTTAGGGGTTAACGCGTGAACTTGTGTCTTCTGAGAGTTAAATTGGACTAGATTGATCGCCCCCAATCCGAGACTTTGTTCAGCAAAGACTCGACTTCAACCACAAGTTTGTTCCGGTACACGGAGACGTTTTCCCGAGAAATATTGACACGGTCGGTGTACAGAGCATCACCAGTGCTGTCATCTGCATAGCAATGAATGATGTGCAGAAGAAACAGTTTTGGTGATAGCACGCAGCCTTGTGAAACACCAGCGTTAATAGGCTTGTAATGGGAACTAGCTCCCTCTAAAACGACCTTGATGCTCCGATCTGCAAGAAAGCACAATTTCTCGGGATACCTATAGGACGGAAGCTTCGAAAGAAGCACTTTGTGCCAAACTCGATTGAAGGCCTTTGCAATGTCCAAACTAACGGCCAATGCCTCCCCCCCCCCCTTGGACTCTTCTGCCGCCGCCCATCTATGAGTCAGGTAGACAAGAAGATCACCAGCTGATCGACCACGACGAAAACCGTATTGGCGATAACTAATCAGCTGGTGATCCTCAAGGTACCTCATGAGCTGGCAGTTTACAATGGACTCCATTGTTTTGGAGAACAAGGAGGTGATGGCAATGGGCCTGTAGTTGGATGGGTCTGAGCGATCGCCTTTTTTTAGGGATCGGGTGGACGGGTCGGAGCTGTCTTACATGATTTTGGACTCCTAGGGAGTAGGAGTACCGGAAAAGACGCGTTAAGACCGGTGCCAACTCTGGAGCACACGTCCTCAGCAATATTGGGGCGATACCGTCGGGCCCACTCGACTTGTGGATTTCCAGGGAGAGGAGTGCTTTGCGAACCGAGCGTTTTGTGAACCGCATCTCTGGTATGGAGCACTCACACTGCGGGATGGACAATGTCATACTCCCCCCGTCATCGAGAGTCGAGTTGGACGCAAAGAAAGAGCCTAGCAGATCGGCTTTCTCCTTTTCGGCATGGGCCAGTGAGTCGTCCTCTCTGTACAGAGATGGAAGAGATGGCTGACAGAAATTCCCTTGGACAGCCTTGGTGAGAGACCAGAATGCACGGGTTCTAGAAGGAACGCGAACTAGTTTCTTACCAATTCTACCTATGTGCTTTGACTTTGCCTTGAGAATTACTCTTTTGAAGCACTTGAAGGCGGAATTATACTTCTTTTTTAGAGCGCTGGTGTTTATATCCCGGGACGTTGATGCGTCAGCCCAGGCTTGGTAGCACTCCTGCTTATAGCATGATGCTATTTTACATGAGCGACCAAACCATGGCTGAGATTTGCCTCCGATGGCGACCACAGAGGAAGGAATAAAAAGTTCCATACCCTGAAGTATCACGTCAGCGATAGAATCAGCAACAAGGTTGGGATCGCGTGGCGAGAAGCAAACCCGCGGTTTTTCTTTGCATCCGGGTAGGACCGCATCCCATCCCAATCAGCAGCTATAGTACTAAATACGGCGGCAGCCTGCAGAATGCAACCGCAATTTCAGCTTGATTGGCACCGCACTCCGGACAAGGCAATGGTCCGAGGAGCCTAAAGGGGTGTCAACAGAAATCTGATATCCGTCTCGATGAGAGGTCAGCAGAAGGTCCAACAAAAAAGGTGCAGGATCCTCCACATCTGCAATCCGCGTAGGCGAAGTAACCAGCTGTGTCAGACCCTATACCAAGGCAAAATCATGAATAGATCTCACCGCATGATCGGTTGAACGTGAACTAAGCCATTCGACATGGTGGGCGTTAAAATCGCCGAGGATCACGATCTCTGCGGAGGGGATCTGCTATAGCAACGATTCTGTAGCCGTTTGGACATGGTCGAAGAGTCGGTCTGTTTCGGCATTATTGCTATGCGACCTACAGAGTTACCCGTAGACGCACAGATGGCCGTCGCTTTCTACTCGTAGCCAAAGGATGGACAGGTCCGAATCTTCAAGACTGCCGAGGCGTCGAGAATAGATGTTCTCTCTGACATATACGCAAACTCCAGCCCAGGGCACAAAGGAGTGTTCCAGTTTGTACCCCGGGTAGGAGAGATACGAACATCAGCCGGAGAGGGCACTTGTGTCTCGTTCAGAAAGGCCTCGCCATCTCGAGATGGTAGTGGACGGCGTTTAGGTTAGAATGAAGTCCTCTGATATTGCAGAAATTCACGCATAGCGTGACAGTGGTCGCCTTGCTCTTGTTGCTCAGCTTGCCCCGAGCAGTTGTTGTCTTGACCGGAATTTTGCTGCTCTCGTGGGATGATAAACTCCTACACTCGCAATAGTGAACCAATAAAATGTAGAAGAGTTGGCGTTGATGCCGACCTGACGCTCGATATATAGCCGTCGCGGCAGTTCATACAGACGCTGTCCATTTACTATGCTGGCCTTCACTAGAGCCATTTTTTGTTATGAATACAGGAAAAACTATTAACGTATGTGCAAATTCCTATTTTTTGCGAAATAAGTAGCGTGTTCTATCAATTCTATTCTACCCCCCCTCCCCCGATACACGAAGCAGCCTGAGCACCCACGCTTATGAGTGGAGTAACTTGGTCGTGGATGCTCAGCGAGGGATTCTCCAGGAGTAGGTCTTTACTTAATTCCGCTACCATTTTAAGGGGGGAATCGGGCTTCCAGCCATCTAAACTCACCAGACGAAACGCGGAAGCAGAGCTTCCACTTCACGCCGGTATTCTGTGAGGTCGTGGTACCACCCCGGTTTTGGCCGGCCCATACGTGCAACAGCAAAGCTGCCGCGTGGCTCTACCACTGTTAAAACTGACTTGCTGCACACTTCCCGTAGGGTCGGCAACTTTTTGGCGGGAATTAATTCAATACCCGAGAAGGAGTACGAAACGTTATTTAAGAATTTTGTGCCTCCCGTCAGCTGATTCTTAAAGCAGGGCATCAATAAACCACCACTACGTTGGCAAGAATGCACCGATTACACGGGTAATTACTTTGAATAATAAAAATTTATACTTGGTAGAGTCATGCTGCAGTTATATTAGAAGTATAGTTGTAGCATGAATGGGTCGGCTCAACCGGGGAATGACCACGCTCTCACAGAATACCAGCGTGAAATAGTATCTTAATGCTGCTGTGTTTCTTATGGTATGTAGAGAGCCGGAGACCCTTTTCACAAAAACGAGGCATTCCATCTTAATCCTCACGGGTGACAACGCAACTGCATTTTGATTCGTGATCGAGGATAGATGTAGATGTCTATGGACGACAGCAACCTCTTACCATCAGGTGGACTGTGTGCTCTTTTGTCACCCTAACCTATAAAAAAATAGAAAAGAATTCGTTAACTTAAATCATAAATACGGCAATTTCATAGGTAAAGACCTCATATATAAATATAAAACAAAATAATGACGACTCCGTGGCGTAGTGGCTGCGCTGGGGGTTGCGAGTTCGAATCCCGCACGGAACAAGTATTTGTATGGCCTACAAATAATTGTTCCGGGTCTGGATGTTTGTCCTTGTGCAATTTATTTTTGTAAACTGCCCCCACGATACAGGAGAAATCCTAGTGTGGGGGTAACGTTTTTAAAGAATATATATATATATATATATATATATATATATATACCCATACATAAAATTCATCATCATCATCATTACAGCCCTTCACAAGGCATGGTTCTGAACCACCTGCATTCTACAACTTCCTGTATAAATAAATTATAAACATATAAATGCAATAAATTACATACGTTACATAATTTAACATTTTATAAATACATAAATAAATATTACTAATGAGATTAGTCTGCTAGTATATTTAAATAATGTTCGCGAACTTTCTTTTTGAACGCATATCGATTGATAGCCGTTCAAGTTTCAAAAGCGTTCTAGAGGAGTATAGACTGTACAGTGAAGGAAGAATGCAGGAGGCCAGATTTATGAGAGGGGCACTTAAGTAAAAGATTATTAGAAAAACGCAGGTTTCTGTCATGGCTGGAGCAAAGTTATTGAAAATGAAAAGTTTAGTACATACAAAGATTGAAGAATGCTGTTGAAGCGATTGAAGCTAAAGAATTATTTTATTTTTTAATTATTTGTCTCTAGAAATAGTGTTTACAGAGTTAAGGTTGTCAGTGAGATGGTGGTTATGATGGTAAGAGTTGTGAGTGAAAAAACATCCAAATTTCAACAGAAAAGATGACTGGGAGCTTTCATGTGCTTGGGTTCCTAATAAAATTTAATAAAATATATCCAAGCATACCACTACAATACTACAAAATACAGTAAGTTCATTTTGCGTAGATCGAACCAAAATTAATACCGATTAAATATGACATCAGCATGTTAAACACCTCAGTTCCCCATAACATGGGTGTTGTAAAGAAACGGAAAAGTCCGGAATTAAAAATAATTTAAATTAAACACGAAAAAAGCACATAGTTGATTTTATTAAAATGTATCTCTTACATTATTTGGCGATATTATACGGCGATAATAGCACAAAATATTTTGGTTTTATATTAACAACTGCCAAGACCTTTACAAATCCGCAAAGCTTTCTCTTTTTGTACTATTACCTAGCTTGCTGTATTTTAAAATACAACACAAATATTTGGTTTCCATACGACGATATGCACGTAGATCGCATTAAACATGTTCAAAAGAAATTTCTATTTATTCAGCTACAGTTATGGTTGAAATAGAACCCTGCCCTGCTATGAAGAGAAACTTAAAATTTTTAACATAATGTTACTACATGTTACTCAGCGTAAATATCAGGATATGACTTACCTTTTCAAAATTAGTAATTTCTTTATAGATTTTCCCACACTTCTTTCTACTAAGCCCCATCGTCGGTATACATTCCTAAACAATTTTTCTTCGCAAGCTTATAAAAATAATTCGTCTTATCCTAACTCTCTATTAAAAACGTGTCGTCTCTATAATGATTTAATGATTATTAATAGCAAATATATGGATATATTTAACAACAAAATAAACAATTTCCAAAATAACTGTTTTAGATATATTTTGTAGGCATTCAAGGCTTACAATGTTAATGTAAATGTAAAAGTACAATGTTTTTATAGAGGATTACTTTTCCTAAATTTTGGAATTTAATGTAATAAGTATTTGTGCAGCAAACACGGTACTGTTACCTAGTATTATGTTGCGTAAACATGTTTTGGAATATCATACAGATCGTAATTTTGCATTTATTATATTAATGTTTTTCATGTTTTAATGTTACTCTGTTTTGAGTACCTAAATAAATAAATTAATTAATCAATAAAAATTTTGCATATTATTGCAGTTTATCATGTAAATTTCCTAACAACAGCAATATTTGTTATCAAAAATTGAGATTTTAACTATTCACGTTTTAGTATTCTTGTAGCTTAATATTTAGTTTTAGATGGGACGACGAACAGTCCTTCAATACAGTGTCGGATATGAACAAAAGGAAAAATTTATATTACCTGGGATAGGTTGATTTGTTGTATCGTTTCTTGAAGAGGGCTTAATAGTGGAGAATCCGTATTGAAAATCAACATTTGTTGTACCAAGCACAGTCACTGCTGTATCACTTTTACTTCCTACTTCGAAACTATGAACACCTGGTTTTGGATCTACTACGTTGACAACCTAAAAGATAAAGACCGTATTTTTAATATTAAGTCAACGTTAAAATATTTTTTACGAAGATAAGTTAATAAAATAAGTAGTATTATGGAAAGACCAGTTCATGACGGTACAAAGCTACAGAATCGCACACGTTTCCGAAGCTTTTACGTCGTTAATTAAAATATATTCTTACACACTCCCAGTATGCTGCATACAATTCTACCGGTCTCCTTAAATATGGAAACAAATAATGTCCCGGTTAAATAAGGATATTTGCCATAGTTGCCACTCTGGCAAATAGGTGGGCAACTGCAGTATTTTATTTTTAAATTGTTAATAGGAATACGCTGCTGCTTACATCCCGGTTTGTTTCCCTCTATCGCTCTTACGACACCTACGGAACGATGTGGGGTAATGGATATACTACCACTACCCGATCCAAGTAAAAATTGGCATAATAAGTATAATAACTCTCTGTGAATTTTGCGTAGTTATATATATGCTGTATAAATATGTTTAATACAAATTTAATTACGCTAAAATAATTTAAAACAATAAGTTTCTCTAAACAATGGCAAGGCGTTTAAAAACAGGTAATATATTAATAAAAATAAATGTAATAAACTAATTTTATATGTATAATTTTATTCGGCTTACATCTTGAGCAGATCGGAGAATAAAGATTCAATTAAGTTTATTTTAAATATTTTATCTTATTATATCATAAATTATTTTAAATCACGGTATCTGTAATGAAATACTCGTATTGATCTGTGACATGGTCATGCACTGATGGCAGTATGAAGAAGCTTAAGTTCGCTCAACGAATTTTGTAATGAACATCCCCATAAAGTAAAGAGGGAGTGACCGAAATATACCAATGGAATAATAAGTTGAATGTGACAATGTGTCCATTATATAGCTGCAAAAACCGATAACTGCAGTGGAAGATAGGTAGGATCTCAGTACCGGTAAGCAAAGTATATGATTGAGTAACGATCTGGCCCAAAGTATGTTTCGTTCTGTGCTTGTGTATTAAGTTAATTTATTAAATAAAGGAGATTTAGTTGGATAAACTGTTATAATACTTAAACCAATTGAATAAGAATGATAAATAAGTTCACGTAAACTAATTATTGCAGCGATTACGGAATGCAATTTTGATGATTTTGTACTATACGAGTACGTAACCGTACACCCTTAGATACGACAGTATTTTGTTGCAGTCTTTTAGTAACAAAACTATAAGTTGTTATAGGTTACTTACCTTTACATTTGAAATATTCACTGTATTATTTACTTTAACTGTATTGCCATCGCCATCTATTATATTCACATTTGGCCGATTTCCTGTCACAGATACATCCAAGGCCGAAATCTCACTATCTATTGTACACTAAAACCGGGAGATAATATTATTATGTGTATAAAATAGTCCTGTGTTTAGTTGTTTAAATATCGTTAAAAGATCTCTATTTGGTCAAGCCATAGCATGATAAAGTCAACAAATAGTGTAATATTTCATGAGATGACCATTTAAAGCAATGTTTGACTAATTTATGGTATGATTTATTCTTTAATCTGGCCACATCATAAATTATAAGACAATTGGATAGATTCCTATTTAGGACGAGTAATTTGTACGGTCAACAATTAACTGTTTGTGGTTTTAAGTTTAGTGCAATAAATTTTAAAATAAATATGTTATAAAATTCTTCACAATATGTCGATGTTGTAGTACAATTTAACATCAAGTTAGCCTAATTAAGTCAATATAAAGATACCAAAGCGATTAAAGTAACAAAAAAACTTAACGCGTGGAATAAGTACTTTTGTTATGACAATTAGAAAATAATTAAAAGATATGATAATTGATGATGATTTATTAGTACTTTTGGTATTATTATAAATCATTAATATAAAAAAAATATTTGAAATTAAAACTACAACCCAATACCTTTAGGTAGGCTAGGGATCTAATTACACTTACAAAATGAATGAAATTAGGTTAATTATTTTGTGTCTCTTATAGCAAACAAATGGAAAATTACACTAAGCTGAAGAAAACTCTTTTGACCTTTAAGTCATAGATGAGATTGGGCCCAAAATCAATTGGGTTTTCTATCAGGAGACAACTACACGATTTTCTATTAAAATTTATCACTACATCATAAAATTCTTACAAAACTATGGCCCTGTTTATCCCTTATAACAATTCGTATAAAAATGTAATTTTGTACGAATTACGAAATTCCCTGCCATCAAGCAATTGAAAACCATTTTTTTCACTTATACCCCTGTCTTAATTCTCTAAGGTTATAAGATTTTCTGAAAATAAAAAACATATTTCATTATTGTAATCCAAAAACACAGGTACTAATTTCAAGTTAAAAAAATATTTTACTATTTTTTCCATACAAATATGAGAACACCCCGTAAAAAAAAGTTTCTTATAAACTCGAATACCATTTTTCACCCCTTAAGGATTGAAATGTTCCAAAAACTATTTTGGTGGATGCCTACGCAATAAATGGAAGTTATTATTCCAATTTAACACTTCTACGTCCAACAGATATACAAATATTTTAAACAAAATTTGCCCCGTTGCTTTAAAATTGTAAGGGGTTGTATTCAAATCATTAAATACGTATCGTAAACCTCACCCTCATCAGGCTTAAATTTTCCTAAATCCTTTCTTAGTGCATGTCTACGTCATAAAAATAACTACTGTACAAATCTCTGATTTGTACATCAAGCGGTTGCACTGTGCGTCGATAGATGAGTCAGTCACTCACGAATTTTTATTTTATATCTAAAGAGGATATAGGCCTACTCCCGCCTCCTTAAGAGCTTTGTTTATGGTTTTGTTGAAGTAGACTTTGATAGGAAACTGCACTCTCTTGAATGCAAAGGGGTGATTTGATAGTGTTAGGGGAATCCTAGGAATAAATACAGACTCTCTTCGGGAACATCCTGTCAGTATAGTTGCCTCGATTACATTGCAATGTAATGTTTTCACTTGCAATGTAACTCAGTAACTCCTCTCATTTGATAATTATTATTCCTAATATCTTGTAAAGGTCTATTTAAGGCTTCGAAACCCCCCTTATAAGCCATAGTACTCTCATCCCAAACAATAATTTTGTTTTGCGGAGTACTTCTGTCATATTACTTTGTTTGGGTATATTGCAGAGTGTGGTTTCGGTTTGTATCAAATCGAGAGGAATTTTAAAGGCAGAGTGTGCACGTTTACCTCCTTCCAGCAAAGTGGCAGCAATACCGGACGACACGATCACTAAGGCGACATCATGATCGCTTTTCACTCTAGCCAACAGTAAATTTAATAGAAAAGTCTTGCCAGTTCTACCAGGAGCATTCAAAAAAAAATCCTACACCTGCATCAATACTGGAAAGTATTTTATAACAGATATGTCTGTTCATTGGTTAGAGAACCTTCAGTACTTGACACCAGTTCTGCTAAGGAATTGACATCATAACTCGTTTTATTCGGGTAGTCACGGTATATTGTGTAAACCTTCAGACCTTTGAGGCTAAGGCAACCCGTACTACTGTAGGCTTTGTCCTCCTAATACTGATACAGTTTCTTCTATTGTGACCAGACTTTTATTGTAGATTTCATTTGCTAGATGTTCATCTATAACGTCAGAAAGCTTCCCACTTGTCATTTGTAGTCTTCTGATAGTCTATCCCTGTATTTTAACCAAAGATTTAGTGCGTCTGAAATCTGACAGAATGCCAGCATTATAGAAAAAAGTTCAAAAATTTTAAATGGCGACTTGCATAAGGTTGCTTCCTCTAGGGCAGAATCCCAATGTCTGTAGTCCTCTAGCAAGACAAGTTCCATGCCACGTAATTTAAAAAGTTGGTTGGAGGACACCGTTGACAGTCATTAAGTCATCGAATGATGATGGATCCCTAACCTCGTGCAGAAATAAGCGAAGATGATAATACTCTGTGTTATTCGGGTGAACCGTGTACGCTCTACGTAGAGCGTGTTCTTTGATTATTTCTGGCCAGCCATCTACGGGTTTTCATCTTCCCCTTCTCACAAGTTTTTTTTTTGCCATACAAAATATGAAGGCACTTTCGTATATAGAATACATACATACATAAACATAAACACTCACGCCTGTCACCCAGAGGGGTAGGCAGAGACTACAGACTTCCATTTGGCACGATCCTGACAGACCTCTCTCGCCTCCTTCACATCCATATACCTACGCATACATGCTCGCCGGTTAAGGATACACCTTATTTGGCCCGTTTCCAATAAATCGCTAACTTGGACTATAAATTTTCGCATAGGACGTCCCTTTCCGACTCTGCCATTCACTTCCGCAACATAAATTATATAGAAGTGTATATAGAAGTGTTTTAGCAAAATCATCTGTTTGACTTAAATAAAAAAAATATTGACAGTAACGTTTATGGAGTAATGTGAATTATTATTAAGGTTTCTATATGGTCAGTGTATCATATTGTTTTTAAATATGACGTATAAAATAGGATCTTCATTTAGATTTGGTATCTCAGCACGTATAAGTTCATGCACCATGTCAGGCTAAATGGGGTTAACCATCCACAACAATATATTTTAGACGGCTCTGTGGCGCAGTGGCTTAGCAATGAGTTATAGCACTAAGGGCCGCGGGTTCGAATCCCGCACGGAACAAGTATTTGTATGACCTACAAGTAATTGTTTCGGATCCGGATGTTTATCTTTGTGAAATTTATGTTTATAAACTGCCCCCACGATACAGGAGAAAATCCTAGTGTGGAGGGGACATAATAATAAACACTCACGCCTGTCACCCAGAGGGGTAGGCAGAGACTACAGACTTCCATTTGGCACGATCCTGACACACCTCTCTCGCCTCCTTCACATCCATACACCTACGCATGCATGCTCGTCGGTTAAGGGTACTCCTAATTTGGCCCGTTTTCAATAAATCGCCAATTTGGTCGATAAATTTTCGCCTAGGACGTCCCTTTCCGACTCTGCCATTCACTTCTGCAACATAAATTTTCTTTGTCACTCTTTCCTCATCCATTCTTTCCACATGACCAAACCACCGAAGCATTCCTTTCTTAATTTCCATTTACTCTGTTTCCTGCGACATAATATATTAAAAAAAGATGAGAAATATAAGAGAGTATGTGAGGCAGACCCTGTTTATGCCATTCGGTAGAGAACATGACACAGCGTAGGTACGCTGTGTCATGTTCTCTCTCTCTCTAAATATTTTGCCTTTGGTTACAAATGCCATTATTTTCTTAACTTTGAGGTGAAAAACTCTGGCTGATATGTCGTGGCTGTCATAACTTTTTACCCGGGAAAAAGCATCTCTTTTATTATATCCCATCGAGTATTGCAAGTACATGTTATAAGGAGATCGGGAAGACCGTAGTGGCACATATACGTCATGGCGTCTTGTAGCCGCTCATGAATATAGCATGGCCCCTCAGTAAAAGAAGAAGGCAGCACCACCTTTTGACCCAGCTGATCACTTCTTGCAAGTGTATTTAACTGGCCGCTCTAAGCTGCGCCTGATTGTTCCTAATACAACTCTACCTTTTCGTCTCGATTTTTGCAAACATGTCAGCTAAAACCTGGCTAAACAGCGAACGAAAATATAGCAGATGATTGTCTTCTACTTATCTAATCATTTTACGGTACTAATAAAAACTTGCAGCGGATACCATTTTTTAAGCGGTTGTTTGGTCTTAGGTTCGTACTAGGGTATAAAAATAGAGTATCCATCCTCGCCGTAGCAAAACAAAATGGGTACTGTAATGCATTGTATGAACGATGGATTTCACTTATTCGATGCAATGTGTTATCATGGCACTCAATTACAATATCCCGCATAAGGAATTGCTGTCGAACACTATCTAAAGAAACTTTATTTGACGTAGGTTGATTTTACCTTCCATTTGTAGACATTCTTTCAACGTTTATAACAACTTTAAATGTTTTTGGCGTAGCAGATACTATGACCAGGGCTAGCTTTAACTATCTTTCGTATATACATTATAAATATGTATCATTTCTTGTTTGCTTTACCAAGCCAGGTTTTCATATATATATATATATATATATATATAAACACTCACGCTTTTGAATAATAATGAAGAAGAAGAAGAAGAATTTACCGGGTGGCGGTGTAAGAATATCCATTACCCCACATCATCCCATGGGAGTTATAAAAGGCGACAGAGGGAAACAAATCAGGAGATGGGCAGCAGCGTCTTCCTACATAATACATAACGACTCACGCCTGTCACCCAGAGGGGTAGGCAGAGACTACAGACTTCCATTTAGCACGATCCTGACATACCTCTCTCGCCTCTTCCACATCCATATACCTACGCATACATGCTCGTCGGTTAAGGGTACTCTTAATTTGGGCCATTTTTAGTATATCGCCAATTTGGTCGACAAACTTCCGCCTAGGACGTCCCTTTCCGACTCTTCCATTCACTTCTGCAACATATATTTGCTTGGTCAGTCTTTCCGCATTCATTCTTTCCACATGACCAAACAACCGAAGCAATCCTTTCTTAATCCTGGTCACTGCATCATCTTGCAAACCACATTCTTCTTTTATCACACAGTTTCTCACCTTGTCACTCAGATTCAGCCCTAACATACTCCTTAGCGACCGCATTTCTACTGCATTTATTCTACTCTCGTGCTTCTTCTGCCACACCCAACTTTCACTACCATACATTATAGTAGGGACTAATACAGCATTGTGAATTGCCATACGTGCCTTTTTTGACACCAATTACATTTAATGTATAATTCTTCAATTACATTCTGACTTTTCACAATAGAGTGTTTTACTTTATTTCCTGCATTCAATCGTCGTTCAATATCCTTATCATGTCGCCCATCCCTGCTGAATACACATCCCAAATATACGAACTCATCCACTTGCTCAATTAACTCTCCTTCTATTCTTATTTCACATACCGTTTTGCTTTCTTCTCTTACAAAAACCATCACTTTCGTCTTACTTGCCTTCACTTTCATTCCCCTTTCTTTTAATGACCTGTTCATTAATGTAACCATCATTTGCAACTCGGCCGCCGACGACGCAAGTATGACTTGATCATCGGCGTACAAAAGGCATTTGATGGTTAACTCACCCATTCTTAACCCGCATTCTTCAACTTTCAAATTTTCCAAAAAACTGTCCATAAATAGGTTGAACAGCCACGGGGAAGCTACACAGCCCTGTCTGACACCTTTATGGATGCCAAACCAGTCCGAGTAGACCCCGTTGATTCTAACACAAGCACTCGAGTTCCTATACAAAGACTTTAATGCCTGTATCAAACAAGCGCTCAACCTAAATGCGTTCAGCGTTTGCCATAACACATCCCTGTCCACTCTGTCAAGAAAAATATCGTATCTCATTTGAACTTATCTAATGTCCTCGTCAACAAAATATATCTGTAAGACCTGTGGCTCATTCTGCCATTCTGCGATGGTGGAAGCAAACTTCAAACCAAATGATACACCTGGCCCTGCACTTTGAATGTAGGCATAAAACCACACAAATTAGGTCATTTGAAAACAACTATTACAATGCCACTCACACACGTACTCACACACACGCAACCACACACACACACACACACACACACACACACACACACACACGCACACCCGCGCACTCACGCACATGAACTCACACTCACTATTTTTGTGAGAGGCTTACCTCTACAATTAATAGAAAACTTTCTAAGTGGAAGAAAGTAGAGAGTTTGAATAGAAAATAAGTGACGAGTTAACTACCAAATTTGATTTGCCTCAAGGTAGCATACTCAGACCAATGTTGTTCATGGTATATGTCAATGACTTATGCCAACTTCAGCTACACAGTGGAAAAATATTCTCGTTTGCCGACGATACTGTATTATTCTTCAGTGTAGTTGGAGGGAGGTATTTGATTCTACACAAAGAAGTTACTAAGAGCTGCCTCTGGATTAACTGGATAAACAAATGTGTTGACACTAAACACTGAAAAAAAAAACATAACCTTCACACTCACGGTCGAACCAAAACCCTCGTCTCTCTCTCTCCATCACAGTCCACGTTTGCAATTCTGAGCTAACTATTTACCATTGTACTGCTATACAAAGAACAGACAGGATCAAATACCTTGGAATCATAATAGATAAAACCCTGACTTTTGAGCCAAACATTGAGGTACTTATCACTAGGTTGCGCAAGCTCATTTACATCTTCAAATCTCTTAAGCACGTAGCAGATTGCTGAATCATCAAGATGGTCTAATACGCTCTATGCCAATCACTTGTAGATTACTGCATTACTTAATGTGCTGCTAAAATACACCTAATTGAGTTAGTCAGTAGTCAGTGCAGGTCTCCCGTTTCGCTTTCCTACTGTTGACCTCTACAGAAAGTGGGATGTTCTAACAGTAAGACAGTCTTTCATCATACAAACTGTTCTAATGAAACACTCTTAATGTAATTACAATCCACAGCTTCTAAAAGACAAACGCAGATAAGGTACTGTATGTCACACCCAATCCTTCCATTCTGCTACCTCACACAATCTCTTCCGTTTTCTAGGACCATACATGTGTAATAAACTGAACAATATCCTAAATTTGTTTCCATCTAGTTGCAAATCCATTCTTACTAAATATCTGAAAACTTTAGACAATGAAGCTACTGAAACCTATTGAAGTCGCCTTTATATTTAATAGTAATCTCGTGCAGTCACGAAATCTTAAATATTTTCTTGCCCTTAATATGGTTTAAAATGCAATTATATGTTAATCCTACCTCAAGCACATACAGGTACGCGCACATTCACTCACACACACTCACTCTCACACACACACACACATACACACACACACACACACACACAAACTCACTCACACACACACACACACACACACACACACACACACACACACACACACACACACACACACACACACACTCCCACATACACTTGTTTATGTGAAATCTGTACCAGTCTCTCACAACTGTAACTGTACCAGTCTGGCACTTTGGTAAAACTTATCATTATGAATACCTATTGTAAAGAAAGAATAAATGTGATGATGTAGTGACATAATCCTGTTGCCATAGATCTTGGGATTTTTGAAGAAAAAATGCGACAAGTAGATTTGACAATCCTCTCTTGATGTTAAGCTAAAACTACCTAAAGAATTCTAAAAGGACCTAAACAGGTGAATATCTCAAAGTGCAAGATCAGGAATATTTGGTGGATGTATTTCCACTTCCAACCAAGCTCTCTTATTTTTGCTTAGTGGCCAAAGATGTGTGTGGTCTGGCGTTACCATGAACTAATATCACTCCTTTTCTGTTGATCGATTCCGGTCGTTTTTTCTCTATTTCTTGCCTGAGTCTCATAAGTTATTGGCAGTAAGGATTCGAAACGATGGTTTATCCCGGCGATAAATGCTCATAATAAATTATGTCCTTCCAACCCCACCATACAGACAGCATCACCTTATTGCATGTTATTCTGGGTTTCACTACATTCTTGGGAGCTTGAGTGTCCTTTGACTATGATCTTTTTCACACTTTCTTCTCGTAAGTTATCCACTTTTCATTATCTGTGCTCAATTTTTCAAAAATGGTTCGGTTTTATTACGTTTCAATAGATAATCGCAAATGAGTACTCGATTTATTAGATTACTTTCAGTGAGCTCAAGTGATACCCATATATCTAGCTTTTTTGTATGGCCAGACTTTTTTTAATGTGTTAAAACTTCTTTGGTGTATCCTCAATCCATCGGCTATGTCGTAACTGCTAATGTGCATATCTTGCTCCACTTTTTCAAAAATGGCATCGACTTTATCTGTATGACCGGAGCAGAGCGAGTTGCATCTTTAACATCAAAATTACCGGACTGTAAACGCTTGAACCAACTTTGTGCTACTCTTACTGATACTGCATTAGGTCCATAAACGTCACAATTTGTTTTGCGGCTTGGATCGTATTTCTCCTTTTTTGTATTAAGAGTTCAGGATTTATTAGTTTCTGAGTTAGATTATCTTACGAGTATTATGGCGTACAGAAAAACAATTGAAATGGCGGGAAAGTTTTTTTTACTTTTTAGTTTTCTTTTTCTAATGTCCTAAATATATTGATATTAAAACCAGCTAACAGTGCAAATGAAGATTTTTCCCCGATTTTAAACAAAGAAAATACGAAGAAACTTTTTCCCGAGTATTGTAAGCATAAACATGTGTAACATAACATTTTTTTTTTCAATAAGCATGATTATCACAGAAGTATAAAAAATCACAACTTACGTTAAATTTGTACCCGTATCCAGGAGGAAACTTCTTTCTAGCCAATTCCGTTTTTCTATTTTCTACCACTCTTGCGACGTAATTTAATAGCTTGAAAAAAATTGTAGAAAATAATTGGTAATACGCATCAAGAAATTATGTCTCGGTCTCTATGCTGTCATGAATTCAATTCAGACTCATTAATTAATATTTCTTTATTTACTGTTTTTGAACAATACTTTTATTTATGACCTCCAACATGATAAGTACTGTATCATTTTAATATATTATGTATTAACAGATTTTACTTCTAACCGAGTACAAACCTCACATGTAGTCATAACATGCGCAGTTATAATAATAATTTATAACAGTAATACGAAACAGTACCAACATATCAAATTAAAAACTAGCTACGATGAAATATGTATTAAAACTAAAATAATACTTAAAGTATTTTACATTACCAAACGTTAATTTTGTGTTTATTAAAAGTTTAAAATAAAAACAATAAATTATCCTATAATACGTCATGGTAATATGGTCATTCGGATAATATGGTCAGTTCCTTATAACTTAAAACCTACAAGCTTGTTTGCACATATGGCTTTGTGATACGATACCTCTTCATCAGTCAGTCAAATACTAAAAGGTCGAAAGGGCGATGCTTTAGCGAAGCCATTTTGGCATATCTTTCATATATAATATCAATATATATAATAGAACGGGAATATAACAGAATAAATCATATATAATAGAACAGGAGAGTGGGCGGAGCCCGTGTAGCCACTAACATGTCACTAACATGTCAATTAATACCTATAAATGTCAACACAATCAAGCGTTTTCAATTTTCGTGTCAAGCGTTGCTGCATGCAAATTATTTTAAAAAATAGCAAATTTTGCAAGAATTACATGTCGAAAAAGCATCGGGCAATAGAATTTAAATAAAGGAGACATATTCTACAACCAGTAAGTCGAAACTATTTATATATTGTAAATATTAGAAACAAAAATAAAGAAATATTTGTGTCAAATCACTCTATGAATACAGCGAATCGGGTTTGTAGTAGTGATAACTGATAATACAACGTAATTGCTTGTATGTGTGCTCCCGGCGACGCCGATCGTCATACAACTAAGTTTAACAGCCATTCTATTGTGTATTATAGTATTATATGGTTGACATTATAGTAAATATTTAAGTCGATTTTGGTATGGTGTAGGTAGTTAGTTTTTTTAAGTAGATTTTTCTAAGTATTTCTAATTATTATTGTCAAGGCTTGTTTGCTATTTTTTCTTAATATATTAGTTATGGAATACGCCTTTGGCTTTTTGCTTCCGTCCTTCTCCTAGTTTTGGTTTTATAGGACGGCAAAGCTTAATTACCATAGGAAAATTTATCCTTTTAGGCATTTGCCGAAGCAAAGCTCGGTCGCAAAGCTAGTTAGGAATTCAGTGCTTTTAAATTAAATTAAGATCTTATTTACGAAATTTATCGCGTAATTACGTTAACTTATTTCTTTTATAGGATAGAGTTTTACAATAGAGCACACAGTCCACCTGATGGTAAGTGTTAGCCGTGGCCCATGGACATCTACATCTATCTTCCATTACGAATCAAAATGCAGATGCGTTTTCACACGTTTTCTTTTCCAGTAAAAAGGGTCTCCTGTTCTCTACACTCACCATACGAAACACAACAGCGTTAAGCTACTATTTCTCGCTGATATTCTGTGAGAGCGTGGTCCTTCCCCGGTCGAGCCGACCCATTCATGTTACAGCTATACTACTAATATAGCTGCAGCTACGCTCTACTACGTATCTTATTTTAAATTCCCAACGTTACGAGTATTTAACAGTACCCAGGGGGGACTGAGATGTTTGACACTTTGAAAAATGCATCAATAGGTGGTGATGTCATTAATTTTTTTTTAGCTGTCATCTGTTACTGCACAGTAATAATTTGTATTATTGCTTTATCTCTCCAATCATTTATTTAAATAATGGTCTAACCAGTTTTCCGAGTAAGATTTAAGAATCTTAGTCGTGTTACTAAGTTAATACCTGTTCCACTTGACTTTTTCCGACAGTAAAAATGTGGCCTGATGTAGCTTCAGCTAACTTCTCATAAACTTGATATCCAGGAGATGTGGCGTTATATTTCGAGCACATGCCCGATATCACGAACACAATCTGAAAGATTTGAATAGTGTGATTAAAAATCTTAGCCTAATCTCGGTGAGCTCCTTTCTTAATTCCATTCTTCGTAATGTACACTAGGATGAAGTTACCACGACAATTACTCCTATACTAAACATATATCCTCATAAAATGAGACTCAAAAACGAGCCCACAGTCCATCTGATGTTATATTTTTATACAGTAGCCTATCCAAAAACGTACCACAAACTGCCATCCAAGTTGTCCATAGGTACGTAGTCAGATAGCTTTACACTAGACAGATAGCCTTAATTCCGTCCAGTTATTCAACTGGGTCTCATTATAGTTCAAACCAGAATATTATAATAGTCTTTACACTGCTGCTAGCGTCAGAAATAATTATAGAAATAGCAGTATAAAGTAATAATCGAAGTAAGCATATATATGTACAAAGCAAATATATGTTGCAGAAGTGAATGGAAGAGTCGGAAAGGGGCGAAAGTTTGTCGATCATATTGGCGATATATTAAAAATGGGCCAAATTAAGAGTACCCTTAACCGACGAGCATGTATGCGTAGGTATATGGATGTGGAGGAGCCGAGAGAGGTGTGCCAGGATCGTGCTAAATAAAAGTCTGTTATCTCTGCCTACCTCTCTGGATGACAGGCGTGAGTGTTTATGTTTACGTTATGTAAGTATATATCTGTATTTTCTCGTAGTAAATATGTAACACATTAAGTTTGTATTATAAGTATAAGGAGACCGCTTCATAATATGTGTTCAAATCGTTTTTTTTTTTTAAATTAAGGATAGCAATAGAAATACTTAAATCACACGTGACATTTAATAATTCCATAAAATGGTTGTGACTGAAGGCGAACAACTTGAGGTCATCCATGTAAAGAAGGTGAGTCACATTTGTCCCTTCCTTATGAAGCTGAAATTCGTCCCCGAAGCCCTCCAGTAATTTACTGAGAGGGTTTATAGAGAGGCAAAACCAGATTAAACATAAAAAAATCACTCAAGAAGGACCTCTTTATATACTTAACCAGCAGCAGTTATTCACTGGCTAAAATGACTAAGGATCGTAATTAACTGCCCCTAAAGTTACAGCCTATATACGTCCCACTGCTGGGCACAGGCCTCCCCTCATTTCTGAGAGGGTTTTAGGACAAGGAAATGTCCGCCGCGCTGCCCCAATGCGTGCTGGCGAACTTCACATGTCTTCGAAATATTTTTTTCTTATTCCTCAGACATGCAGGTTTCCTCACGATGATTTCCTTCACCGCCGAGCACGTGGTAAATCAGCACTTAAAACTGCAATTAACAATTTCATTGGTCCCGGCGGGGATCGAACCCGGGTTACTCGCGTTCTGTTATATTTACAGTGCGCGTTAACCATCTGAGCTACCACTGCCCCTGTAGTAACTTAAATATTTATTTGGTTATAGCAGCTCTAAACGTTGTCGAAATTAGTATCCAAGTATGCATTTAACCTTTTATATCTTGAGTACCCTCTTTAGCGGTATATGAATGCATTTATGTAATCTACCCACGTGGCGGGGAAATTCTGGCATTATATTTTTATAACGTAATATTTATCTGCAATAAACATTTCTACCGCACAAAGAAAATGTACATGTTATTTACCTGTATCTCTTTTTCTATCGCTATTTTTTTTACTTTCTCAAACTTAGCGTAATCCTTTGCAGTAGCATCTGTGAAAACGTATACATAGGAACCAGGGCGACTTGCTTTAAGTGCTAATTCTATTCCAGACATCGCTAACTCCGGACAGTCGCCACCACCGTGAACTGTTATTGACTTTAATGACTTCTTAAATACATCGCGATCTTTGGTATCATTGCGCAAAATTGTTCCTGTGAAATATAAATTCTAGTGTTTTATCTGAACGTAGGACACAAAGTAAATGGGGATCTTCACCCTGTAGTGGGAAGTCAAAATGTATCGAAATGGCATGCATGTTACAAAATTTAATACCAGAGCACTCTTAAATAAACGGCGTATGAATTTTTGACAGAACTACTTATAACATTTGTTTTCTCTTCCTTTTAAGTGATCACCATTATTCTCATCAACCTCACACAGTCTGCTATTAGACATCAATCTACTGCTCATCGCAGGCATCGTTAGAATTGCTATAAATATTCTGAGTCATATTGCTTATTTTATTATTTCGCATATTGTTCCTATCAAATTAACCGATCACGTTCATTTTAAATCATGATGGCTTTTAAATAATGATAAAATGTTCGTCCATATATTTTAACGCACCCTGCTACATTATCATCATTTATTAATGCAACTTAACCTATTTAGCAAAAATTATATTAGACTTTTTCATTGATATTACTTATACATTTATGATAACTGAAGTGAAGTGACAATAACCAATATACGTAACAAACAACTATAGTAAAACAATTATGTGAAATTCTTTATACCTACCAAATGAGTTATTTTATTATCAGGACTAAAACTGTGTGATCAATTAGATAATCTTTGGAACATTATAGTGGTTGTGGCAAAAAAAGATATCTTAAAGTTATTAATTGTACTCATTCAAATTATTTGTTATCTAACTCACCTGGATCATTAAACGTAACAATAATAAAATTTTCTACCACTGATGCATTAGAATCGAAAACAACATCAAAAATTTTATCTGCGCTATTGAGTACACTTTTAATTTCTTTTTGCATCGATACAGTGTCATCAATCACAAATGTTAAACTGCTTTTGCTTCCCGTGAAACTGAAAATTGCACATACTTGAAGAATATTTATTATAATAACACTATAATACACTTTGCCAATCATGGCGTCCGATAACTAAATGGAAGCACTGTGTTAAAATACCAATCGAATGTGTAAAATAATTTACCGCACGAGACTTCGTTGCCAGATATCGAAGGAAACACAATATAAAAATAACTTTAACTAAATAATTGTTTTAACAGAGTTAACCGTGTGAGTAAAAACGATTTTTAAAATAGAATAATGTTTATTTAAATTCATGTTTATGAAGTGCATTACGAACTCTTAAGGAAATTCAAGTGGGAAAATTGTATATTTGGGTTATCAACTAAAATGTATGTACTTACGTATTTATGTGTGTAATTTATCAACTAAATCTAAAATAAATTGATTGTTGTTCAGTTTTAGTACAATTTGGAGTACAATGTTTTGTCATATAGACGAGTGGATGACTGATATTTTTATAGAATAAAGGTGACAAACGAGCACATAGTCCACCTGATGGTAAGTGGAAGCTGTGATCCATAGACATCTACATTTATCCTCGATTAAGAATCAAAACGCAGATGCGTCTTCACCCCTCAAGACTAATATGGAATTTCTCGTTTCCAGTAAAAAATGGTCTCCGGTTCTCTACACTCACCATACGAAACACAACAGCCTATACCTGCTATTTTATGCTGGTATTCTCTGAGAGCGTGGTTTCACCCCGGTTGAGTCAAACCATTTGTGCTACAACTAATATAGCAGCGTGGCTCTACTACGTAAAAACTGTAATGATCGTCCCTATTCCACTTGTAAAAGGTTCACATCAGTCAATTCCTTAATAATTAATCATTGCCCGCTTGGAAAAGGCTCACAATATTTATATAATACACCCAATACAAGGGCTTCGCTCTCACACACCAAAAATGTTTGGGGGAGGCACTCAGCTTAACACAAGCCAACGCCGTGTACGGTGAGCAACAACCCAAACGTCGTGCTCCTCCCAGCAAAGGGAAGATAAATTGGATAAAAAACTGGCAAATCACTATAAGAGAACTTGGCCCTTTGGTAATGCGTAAGCACAAACATGGATTAAAGTCGCGCATGCTAATGCATGTAAACGCCATACAGAATACAATCAAAGCCAAACATAGTGAATACACGTCACACGAAATAGACACACGTCGAATAATATGCGCAGTGGCCATAAAAAGCCCTACGTGAGTGCCACCACCAACCAGTTACTGCTGCAGATGAGATGTAAGTATGAGGCATCACCATCAATTGTATAGAGAGCACGGCTTCTAGCCACAAAGCGTGTCATGAGTCTACTGTTCACCTCATGGTATTAGGGTCCTACGTCGACCGGTTTTCGGCCGCAGCCTTGAGAGTCTCTTGCCTCCAACTATCCGCATGAGATCGACACATATGCTCCATCAACCAATACAACAATAGTTATAGCCAAAGATAAATATATAACGATAAATCTTAATTCAGCCTTCAGAAAGTAGGTATTTGTGTCACTATACTATATTCATATTTCGATAATCTTTGTCTCACTCACCACCCAATATGGTGGTACCTTGTACTTTTACTCAATTAAAAGGTGGGAAATTTACAGAGCCTCTTTATTATGTTGTTATATAAAACATAATGGACGTCAGAGAGTCTGCAACTCCCTCATTCTGAGGGGCCCTAGAATTACATTACCCCTTCCCCTGCTAGAGGAGCCTCACTCCGAAAGTAGGGGCCAGGGTGCCCGGAACTACAGTCGGCGACGCGGCGGAATCATTGCTCTCGATAGCTCGTAGGTCCTCACTTACAAGTCATAAGTTACAAGTTACAAGTCTCAAGTACAAGCCGCAGGGCACCACCAACAGCACCATACTTTTTTGTCTTTCTATTACACCTTTGACACTGATCAGAGACATTGCATAACGAAACATTTTAGCATATTTTTTGCATAATCGCACAAGGGTGGACTGCGATATATCCAAATTGTGTTTCTAGTACCATGCATTTTGAAGCGATGTGAAAATTCAAAAATATGGAACATCTCCTCGCAAAGTTGTGGTTTAAGATATTTATTTCTTAAAAGAATTAAAATTCACTTACATGAGAAATGAACAACACTAACATAATTTTATATTAAACGGCACAACACACAAACAAACTGATAACAAAATAAAAATACACCAATTTTTTATAGTCTAAACAAATAATGTTAAAAAGATATGAGTACATAGTAAAATAATAAAAGAAAACTACAAAGATTAAAATAAACATTCTTGACGGTTACTTTATTTGGTTCGATCGCCGAGTGCAAAATTATTCATATACCGACCTTAATCTTCACTTAATAGAATTTACGTTGAACAATAGAGACTGGAAGTGATATTATGCATTCTTGATTGAGCGCAATCATTACTTGGTCAATGGCTTAATGATAATTAATAAATGACCTAATGAAATTTAATAACTATATCTGCATATATATATATATATATATATATATATATATATATATATATATATATACTTCTTATGAAGTCCTTTTTTTAATGTTTTGTTTTATTTGCTTTTTTACGTACGTCGTGGATGCTCAGCGAGGGATTCTCCAGGAGTAGGTCTTTACTTAATTCCGCTACTATTTTAAGGGGGAGGGGGGGAATCGGGCTTCCAGCCATCTAAACTCACCAGACGAAACGCGGAAGCAGAGCTTCCACTTCACGCCGGTATTCTGTGAGGTCGTGGTACCACCCCGGTTTTGGCCGGCCCATACGTGCAACAGCAAAGCTGCCGCGTGGCTATACCATTGTTAAAACTGACTTGCTGCACACTTCCCGTAGCGTCGGACAACTTTTTGGCGGGAAATAATTCAATACCCGAGAAGGAGTACGAAAGGTTATTTAAGAATTTTGTGCCTCCCGTCCAGCTGATTCTTAAAGCAGGGCATCAATAAACCACCACTGCGTTGGCAAGGATGCATCGATTACATGGGTAATTACTTTGAATAATAAAAATTTATACTTGGTAGAGTCATGCTGCAGTTATATTAGAAGTATAGTTGTAGCATGAATGGGTCGGCTCAACCGGGGAATGACCACGCTCTCACAGAATACCAGCGTGAAATAGTATCTTAATGCTGCTGTGTTTCTTATGGTATGTAGAGAGCCGGAGACCCTTTTCACAAAAACGAGGCATTCCATATTAATCCTTGACAACGCAACTGCATTTTGATTCGTGATCGAGGATAGATGTAGATGTCTATGGACCACAGCAACCTCTTACCATCAGGTGGACTGTGTGCTCTTTCGTCACCCTAACCTATAAAAAAATAGAAAAGAATTCGTTAACTTATTCATAAATACGGCAATTTCATAGGTAAAGACCTCATATATAAATATAAAACAAAATAATGACGACTCCGTGGCGTAGTGGCTGCGCTGGGGGTTGCGTGTTCGAATCCCGCACGGAACAAGTATTTGTATGGCCTACAAATAATTGTTCCGGGTCTGGATGTTTGTCCTTGTGCAATTTATTTTTGTAAACTGCCCCCACGATACAGGAGAAAATCCTAGTGTAGGGGTAACGTTTTTAAAGAATAAGAGTATATATATATATATATATATTACTATAAAAGCAAGGCTTATTAATCATAATTTTATTAGATCGAAGCTGATATTATGCAAATTTATTAACATTTTAGCATTTTAACTTACTAATATTATAACCATCCAATCATATTAAGCACAATTTCACGAATGGGTAAACCACCTTGATTATGTGTTTAGAAAATAATGTTTTAGTAATCTTTTAAAGGTCGTCATAGATTTGGCATCCCTTATCTCTTTTGGTAGTTTGTTGTAGATTAAGACACCTTCATTTAAAATAATTTTTTTACCGTAGTTAGTACGTGCTGTACGTAGTTTTAATTCTCTGTAATGTATTGCTCTTAGTTTTGTTATAGGTTTATTTTTTGTAAAACTTAATTCTGTGTGTATGTTTTATTTAGTATTTTACGTACTAAAATGCAAGTATAATATTTATATATTAGTGATATATTCATGATTTTCGTGTCCTTATAAACTTGGGTTGTTGGAGTAAGAAAGTCGTAATTAAATAGTAACTTAATCAGTTTATTCTGTGCTACCTGCAAAATTATTCAATTAAACCGATTAAAAATGCGTAATCGTAACATTCATCTGGGTAACTATGTACTTAGCACAGAGGAAGTGAAATTGTTCATAGCTATGTGACTTCTTTGCTTCATTGAATATATAGGGCTTAACAATGAACGACCATATCAACGACCACAATAAATCATACTGGTCTTGTTAGACCTGCATAGCTACATGCACAAGAAAACAGCCTACATACGTCCCACAGCTGTGCACGGATCTCCTCTTATAACTAAAAGATTTCAAAAGTAGGTAAGAGTCGTAAGAGATCCCGGTGTTACATTGCGTATTGGAGGACTTCAGATTATGTCCTCGAAATACTTTTAATTACTTAAGCCTAAAGATTTCCACAATATGTTGTCCTTACGCACAGAGCACGTGGTAAACCAGTCATTAAAGTTGCAATTTTATTAGCGACTGGCGATCTGTCCCTGATAGGGGTTATAAATGGTACATACTCGTAAAATAATTCAAAAAAGTCAATTTAGATTAGTTTTTCAATTTTTTTTTCAAAAATATCTTCATTTTTTATGATAAATATAGCTTCACCTGATGTTGAGTGAATACCGCCGCCCATGAAGAACTGCAACACCAGAGGAATTGCAGGTGCGTTGCCGGCCTTTTAGAAAAGAGAAAGCTGTTTTCTTGTAGTCCCTTGGTCGTATCGGTCCGGAAAAAACGCCGGTGGTAAACTTTACCACAGAGAGGTCGTACGTGGAAAAAACTCCTAGTGAGACGTACAGTGATGGACCGCCAAGCATCCAGACGGTGTAGATGGTA